TACATATATTGTCGCGGTGTATGCACTGTTTTTTTTCTGTTTCAATCGATTTTCATGGATGGTGTACGTTGAGTCGACACTCATTTACGTACCTAAAAGTAATGAATAAGAGCCATGCTGAACTATTGGTGAAAATATGCGCGAGAAACATATGTATTTTGGAACTGTTCGTACACCGATTATTATCTAAATCATCAGTATTGTGCACAAACACTTTTCAAGTTGTACACGCTCCACTGAAAAAAGTCCTTAATTTCTTGCTTTGATATAAAATACCAAAAAAATATTTCTTTCGTCCATTTTTAATGTCATCAATGTTGTAATTCTTGATGCCGCTTTGTTCGATATGAATAGTTGCATTTTAAAGAAGGAAAAAACAGTTTGAAATAATTAAAATATGACTAATTGAGCATTTTCGGAGAGAAGAGAAAGCACTTGTATGCTTCGAAATTGAAAATGAAAGGAGAAAACGATATCAAATCAAAAACAAAGTCAGCGCGTCTGATGTGCGTTACAAACCCGTTTGCATTTTACAGTTAGTGTATAGTGCATATGTCACAGAGCAGAAAAAGAAACACTACTATTTATTAATTATATCGACAGAAACGTACACGATTAAAATTGAAGCGATATTCGCCGCCTCGATAATTTTTAATTTTTCCGTTTTCAGTTGGCATTTGAATTTTATTTCATTTTATGCGATTGAAAACTCAACAACTTAGTGGCAAACGTATTCTATGTTTTTCATGCAAGCAATTCATAAGACACTGATGAAGAATTTGATATGTAGAGGGAAATACACATGGTACACACATGTTAGTATATTTACCATACACTTTTCACTCGCTGCATATTAAATATACTGATATTTTGTGGTCCGCGCATTTTGAATCTGAGGAATGCAAAGCTACGAGAAAACAAGTGAACAACAAAAATTCACCATCAAAATTGAAGAAAAAGGTGTCAATTTCGATTTTTTTTTTTGAGAACATGAGCATTTCGTTTGTTTAACTAATATTTGTATCAATTGACGCAACAAAATTTGATTTAAAATGTCAAAAATGTTCGACAAACTTGAGATCATTCCGTGTTTTCAATTTAATACTACTCTTTTTTTTCTACAAAGTTGTCGAAAGTACAGAATGAGTGATAAAAACGTTGCCGAAATGTCATCCCTTTATATCAAGGCAATGAAGCAACGTTTCGATATCGTCACTCGTGCGAACTAGCGTACGCTGTGATAGGCTGATATCACTTAACAATTCGGGATTATGCGTTCTGAATTCAGTTTTCAAACATGTTTCTACTCAAACGGTGTATACCATACTTGTCATACAGCAAAATTAAGCTGAAATAAAAACGTAATAAATATAGTTGTCGGACATAAAATTTGTATAATGTAAACAAATTTTTATAACGAGTCACAGATTATGGTTGGCTACATACATGAGCACAGGAGGAGTAGGGTCGGACGACCACCTTCAATCATGAGAATAACCCCCCAGCCGAGAGTAAGTATTCTTGCGATTTAATAGTTTTTTTCTTTGTGGAAAATTCTTTGTGCTATGGATCTCACAGACTTCTGAATCAAAGACTTTTTTCTCTTTAAAGTGAGCCGAGTTTGCTTTTTTCTGATGCAATCAACGCATATCAGAATTCATGGCACACTTTGAAGATGAAAAGCGACGTGAAAGTTCTTAAGGAAGTATTTTTAAATATCCATGGCATAAAAAAACTTACTCTTCCAAAATTATTTGATGATGAAGCGCCAGTATGAATGTGTAAATACGCACAGTTCGGCTTCTTCAACAGCGGTGCGGTGTATTTTCATATGAATGTGAGCTGAATGCAATAAGCGAGTAGTGACGACAAGATTTTTTTTTTATTTTACTGTAATCACCATTTTTTGCTTCTCTCTCTGTCTCTCCACATTTTTTTATGCCCGAAAGATTAATTGAGAGAGTGCACAACTGTTGCATACGTATTATAACTGTGTTGGGAGTGATTCACAGTAAAACACTGGAATTGAATAAACAATCCCTTGAATACGTTATATGTTCGTATGAGATTTCTCTGGATATAGTAATAGACTCAAATAAAAAAAAATAGTTGCGTACCTCCTGCCTTCTTGCCTTGTGGTATTTATGTTTATTTGCGCTATACAAAAATGGTCGTATTGCTTAATGTGAAACGCATATATTTACTTTTTCGGTGATTTTAGAGAAAACCAGATCTGATTTTCTCAAGACTTTTTTTTTCATAAGTTTTCTTCACTTAATTTTTTTATTGAGCGACCGTCTTTTTTGGAGGTCACTTGGTTAAATATTTGAATGTATTACGGGGGTGGGTAACGGGGGAATTTCGATTTTGCCCTTGCTTTTTTGATTCATAGATGGAATATATAAGGTTACACACAGTATTCAGTTAATTACTTTGAATTTAGGGGAGATTTGTTGAAAAAATTAGAGATGACCAAACTGTTTTAGATTTCTTATAAACATGTGAGAACATCTTACAAATGGACAGAAGCAAAGAATAGTTCGTTTACTTTGTGTAAATTTGAAATAATAGTATTAAAAAATTAGTTTTCTACTTTCTATAAAAATCAGTTTCTTCACATTTCTACAAATGCGATCGATGAAGGTTAAATAATTTTAAGTACCGCCAAATAATTCTGATTATATGAGAATAAAAAAAAAAAAATCAAAGATCGGTAAAGAAACAAATTAAAAAAAAAATGAGAAATGAAATCACTTGGTTCGGCAATCACACAAAACGCAATGTTGAAACTAGACGACACACAGTTTTTGCATTTTTTTTGCTAGGTATTAATTGCGTGCATATTCAAATAGATTTTTTGCTAACCTAAGTAAAAAAAACAGCACCTATCTGGTTAGATGTATGCATTCATTGCATTATTATGGAATTTGTGTGTAAAATTGAAACCAGAAGCAATACGACTAACAATATATATGCGATCTGCAAAGTGACCGATACGAATTAATAATTCATACTTAACAAATTTTCATTGGTGTTGTATATTGTGTTGAACACAAAAAGCAATTTCTTTATCCATCAGCAATTTTATTGCATTAAATTAAATTGAATATATGAATAAAGTCCATTTTATTTTACTTTAATTTGAATTTGAATTTGAATTACAAAAATCGAAATAATTGAAAAAAAAGTTTTATGATATTTCTTACCAATTTTTTTCGTGCATTTAAAATATATGGTTATTGCCATACCAATTGATGGTAAAAACAACGATATGCTGTATGAATAAATTTAAATAGTGGTAGAATTTAATTTTCAAAAAAGTCTCCGAATTTCCCCACTTCGGGGGAGCTTATGACACTTAGAAAAAAAAAGTTTCACACGTTCGGCACGTCCGAAAATGAATGATAAGACATGGAATACCAACAAAGCCACATGCTGTTTCAAAAAACAACGGTATTAGGAAAGCATAGAAAATTGGAGCTGTTGCTTTTCATTGTTTCTCTCAATTGATTGTCAATGGGTAGCTGGCTCTTTTTATATTGTGATAAAATACTGAATGCGTAAACAAAACGACTTACTGCTGCTGCTGCTGCTGCTATTTTGTATATTTTAAACGCAGCTACCGTTTTCAATGCATTCAATGTTTTGAATAAGGCGAAGAAAAAAAAAGTTGTATAATAATGAAAATAACTGAATGCCAATGTGATGGAGTGCTGTTTTTGCATTGACTGAACAAATGGTCTTCTTCAAATTTGATTTGCTGCAACTAATTGCCAATTGTGACAGCGCATGTTAATTGCTGCAAACAATTGTTTGACTTTCCGTAAATATAGCCAAGAAATTCTCCAATTACCTTTTGACTCGATGAATTCAATTTGAGTTCAAAAGCATTCATGCGATTTGATTTGGTAAATGTGCAAGGAACAAATGGGCGTCAATGTCAAATTGATGCATTGCTCGCCATCATTGCCATCGATCCACTTTAATATGAAATGCACTTTTATGAAACGCTTTTTTCTATCACCTTTTTCATCATGTCTGCTAATATCGATGAGTGTTTTTATGACATGCTTCTGCCGCAGCATCCATAGAAACAGCAGAGAAAAAAAAACTCGCATCAGTTTTTACCTGTTGCCGTCCACTACAAAAAGAGAGAAGTAATCCACTCAGTTTATGGATAGGCACATCGAATGATGTCATTTAATTTGAAGTATGCACGTATATATGTGTCTAAAGCATAAAGAGAACGAGAGGCTGAGAATTCAATTGGGTTTTTTTTCCTATCGTTATTTCTATTGTCGACTGTTTTATTGCTTTTCGTTCATAGAGATTTTCATTGGTTTGTGTCTCGTTTTTGTATATCTCGGTCGTTTGGCATATGTGTATTCGCACTCGTTTTATGACATTCAAATGACACGTTAACACTCTAACCATTAGCAGAAACTAAACGCACCAAACATTAAAAGCGACGAGAAAAAAAGATGAAATATTAAATTGTTTGTAAAACGGACACACAAACAAATGACCGAAAAATACGCATGTTAGAGTCAGAGAAAGAGACAGAGAAAGAGAAAGATGGATAGGAAGAGAGAGAGAGAGAGAAAACGAGATATGACTGTGATAAAATCACAGTTGTTGTATTCAGACAAAGAATTTTTTGCTCAAAAATGCAGCTTATATTCATTCACTCCATCACTAAACAATATGCAGTTTTATTGAAGAATATGAAGTTTAATATATTGCCCATAAAGTAGAAAGGATTTTCTTCTTACCATGTAAACTTACCCGGCGACGATGTGACCCAACCATTGACATATTTTTTCTTTGCCATTTCTCTAAATTTTCAACACATGTAGAATTGTAGATACTGTAAGTCCAAAACTCATAAAAGAAAACAATAGTGTTTAATTTTTTTTTAAACTTTTTCCGAACAAAAAAGGTTGTTTTATTCGTTTATTTCAGGGCGGTATAATTAATATTAGTCATAATAATAAAGCCCAATAATCGTAATAATAATCGTAGAATAGTTTTTAGCAATAAACATAAAAAAAAGTTGTTCCTTATTTTTGTTGCAATTGCATTTTGTTGAAAACAAAAATGACAATGTTTTTAGGTAAAAATATATATACAATACACATATTTGTGACATTTCGTCTTCTGTCTTTCCTCTTTCGTTCTTCCAACATTTCATTCTTTTAACATAAAACTATAATTTCATTTTCTCTAATGTTGGAAATCGTCTATACAAAAATTCTTAACGCAAAAACAATGTGTTTGTTTATTTTATTTTTTCTTCATTTTCAAATGCAATCAATTTAATTTGTATATAATATAATTTTCAACTTTTGGTTTGATTTAGTCGTGTTTTGTCTCTTTTTCTTCCACTCCGTCTCTTTGTATTTATCACTCACATTTTCAGTAAAAAAATTTCGTAAACATGTGGTTTTTTCAGATTTTTTTTTATCTAATAATATCAAATGAAAACATACATTTTGAACTTGTATATCATAAAAAAATCTAAAACAAAAATAGTAGAACCTTCAAATTAATTTTCAATAAATCCAAATATAAACCAAAGTAAACGAAATTAACGTTTCTTAATACAATTATAAAAAAGAATATTTGATTTAAAAAAAAACATCAGCAGAAGGAAATGTACATTTTTAAACATTTTTTTTTTGTAGAAACATAAAAGAATTTGAAAAAAAGCTAATCTTCCTAAATGTTGTATTAGTGATTTAAATATTTTTTTCTTTCATGATTATTTTCAAATATTTGTTCAATGCAGTTATACAGAACCAGTTCTGTAACGCTTTACGAATTTAATTGAACAATTTTATTATTATTTCTATTGCTTAGTTTTAGGTTGTTCTTGGTTTTGTTTTCATTTTTTTTTTTCATTGATTTGTATTTGCAAGGGAATACATTTTTATAATGATTTGCATTTTACTTGATATTGTATACAATGTACTCATAAATGAATGAAACTGAAAGCAAAGCCAATCTTATTTCTATCATTCAGTTGACTATTGTTTTATTTTTCTTTCTCGCTTTTGTATTTTCATGATTTAAATATAAAAAAATAACATTCAGGTAACAATGAAACAAAAAAAAAAACACGAAAGTGCGGCGTTAATTAAGTTGTTTGAATTGTATTGGAACAATGCAAATGGCTGTGTTGCTCTTTAAGTTGAATTGGTTTCCAGTTTTGTTTCTTGTTTGTATTGTATAGTTCATTTTATCTATTTTGAATTAAATTCGCCAAATCTTACTATTTATTAGCTTTGTCTTGCAATTGAAAAGAAAATTATGTCCGAATCTGAATCAATAATCAATTTTAATAACATATTGACATACGTAATATGTATGAATTAGGAATATTGGAATGGAATAATGGATCATCCAAAAACCTTGTTTGGAAATCGGATATTTTATTTATATAGATGAAATACGTATGAGAGAAGAGCGTTAAGTTTTATATTTCTATTGCAATGTTGCATAGAATATTGCATAATTTCTATCTGATAACGTTCAGATGGCACATAGCCTTAAACAGCCGAATCAAGATGAATGTAATAAATTTTACAGAACTATAATTTTTTTTTTTGCGAAATGACGACGTTTCATCTCATTTTGTCTTTGCTTCCGCTGAGACCTATTGTTGAAACCGCACATCGACCAAAAATATAACTTTCGATTTTGGTTACAAACAAAGAGACAAGGTCTCACTTAACTGAGTTAAATGAATTTCATTTAAAAAATTCCAGATCTCCATCACCTTACAAGCCACAGGCTAAAATTCACTCTTGTCAACTTTGGTAATTTCATGATCGCATCCAAGCCCATTTGCGAGAGTTGAGTGCATCCGTACAAATCGATGGAATGCAAATTGTGTAGATATTCTGCTAATGATTGTAGTCCTTTATCGGTGACCTTATCGCATTGGCCGATGTTAAGTGTTTCCAAATCAAGTAAGTTCTTGGCAATGCGCATAAGACCTTCATCGGTGATTTGACAATGATTTAAACTTAGCGAATTCATATGAAACAGACCCTGTGATAGATGATTCAATGCTTGATCACCAATTTTATCACAGAAACTTACGTCGAGGGAGGTAACCGTGCATCCACCTTCAGTTAAATAAGCCATACCAATGTCTGATATATTATCACATGCTCGTAGATCGAGCTCCTTTAGATTTGGCATGCGCGCTAGGTACTTTAAGCCGCTATCGGTAACTGATACACAGAAGCTTAAGTTAATCGATTCAACGGTTGGGAGACCTTGTGAAATGTATTTCAACGATTCATCGGTAAGACGTGGACAATCCTGTAGACCAAGATATTTCAATGTAAGCGATTGATCGGATGGTGATGCGACGGCTGTTTTATCTTTATTCAAACCGGCCAATTGGCAAATTCCCTGGTCGGTAATTTGCCAACATGATCGTAGATTTAATCGTTGTAATTTCTTCAGTTTTATGGCAATGGCGGACAATGATGCATTTGTTAAGTTACAACAACCTCCCAGGTCTAAGATTTCTAGATTTTTCAAATGGTATGCTATTCGATTGAGGCTTGTATCGGTGATTTGTTTACACAGTGACAAATTGAGAATTTTTAAATTCGGCAAATCTTGGTTAAATGCTTTGCATAGATTTGAATCAGTAATGCTATAGCAGCCGCTTAAATTCAACGTCTCTAAATTGGGTACACCGGAGATAACATCTTTTATTGTTCGGTGAAGCGATAGCACCTGGACCTTGCGAATACCACGTCGTTGCAATGATGTGAATAAATTGTTATTCTTTTGTCGTAAGTGTAATCGAGCTTCAACACCTTTCCATACACGTTTTTCATATGCAGCATCACGCCATGCTGTGCATACTTGAGCGGCTCGGCCTCGATCGCGTACGCTTAGTTTCGAAAAAATTTGCGTTAAAATTTCCGGATACAAGTGGGTAATATGTGTTCCCTCTGGTTCATTTTGCTCCTCCGACGCAATATTCGTTGAATCGATGAGCTTTTGTGAATGCACCAATGACGATGATGATGATGACGAAGATGTGGTTTGTTGAGATTGCTGCGGTTGATGACTCAGTCCAATGTGTCGTTGCTGTTGATTCGAATGAAAAAATACAGGTTGTAAATGTGGCCGATGTAATGGATATGGACCGTAACGATGATGGTGAAAATGTTGTCGATGTGGTCGATGTGAAATTGAACCGCCGCCATTACTAATACCGATGCTCATTCCATTTACAAGTCCGCCACCTATCATGCTGGGCAGCTCAGTTTGCATGAGCGGTGCATCCTCCATCATGAGGAAAGTGATTGTGTGTAACGCAAAAATTTTGTTTACTAATTTATTTTCACCAAACTAAAACACTGATCGAAGCCTTTTTTGTATCAATTTATGTCGCAGAAAAATTTGTTTACCAATTTTGATTTTTACTTTTTTTTCGTACTCTTCAATTGTTCACAAAACTCAAACAACATTTGATCCACAAAACAATTTTTCAGCTAATATTTCTTTTTTTTTATTTCAATTAATATTTTATATTTTCTTTGATTATATTATATTTTCGTTTTTTTTGTTTTGTTCAAGTATTTACTACAAATTTACTTCAGCTTGACGAAATCACATATTTTTCGGCCACTCACTATATGTTCGATAACTTGAAATTTTGATAAACACCGCCGAAAAGACGTATGTCATTGCCGATCAACTGTTTACGGATAACTGAATGGCTGTGTGCACTTGGGTGTTATGTGTACTGTACAAGTTGTGTGTTTGCTCGCACACAAGCGTCGTCTGACATTATCTCAACCTTACCAACACAAATGCGTTTGCTTGTTGTATGCACAGATATGTGCGAATGTGCAGCCATAGACACAATACGAACAGGTTCTCGTTGTTGTTGGTGTTAGAAATGAACTGTGTGCGATGGTGACTCAAATGTTTATTGTTGTGTGCGTGTGTGTATGCGTATGCGTTTTATTTTCTTTTGTTCATGTTGAAATTGTGGATGAATGCATTCTCTTTCATAGTACATAAATGTAAAATGTACGCTTTGAAGGCTCGACAATACAGACACAATATGGAATATGTGCACGTTGTATATATGTACGTATTAATATACATACTTAACAGCAGTATATACATATACATATGAATGTATGCACATGTAATGTATGAATGTAGTCACGTGGAACACGCAGTTTTTCCACGTTCAGCGCATTTGAAGATAGAAGATAGAAATGCAGCAACAACAGCAGGGCAAATTGAAGGCTATAGCAGACAGGCATACACATCAAAAACATATCGATATACAGAAGAGGCACATGCGAAAGATGAAAAAGGAAAGAAAGAGGGGGCGCAAAAGAGATAGATGCACGAATGGTAGAGAATTCCATTACTGCAACTTAGGAGAGTGTGATTTCAATGCAAGTTTTTAATATGTATGTGAAAATGTTCGTATGAGCTTAAGAGCTACAATGATACGATACACACAATTTTATTTGTTGGTCGGTAAAAACCGAATGCAAAGACGAAAAATCAGGCAGGCAAAATATTTTTGAAGACGCTTGAACGGAAACTTACACCATTTACGCCATTTTCAAAGGCAAAATGTATCAAAGAATTAAAATGAAGAAAGAAAAAAAAATTCATCCTTATTTTGCTTGTTTTCTATCAAACTATTTCTATTCTGATGAATATGAGACTGTAATATGAAACTCATACATAGCAGACGATCATACTTAAGATTTTAACAGAAAACATTGAAAATACTCTCTTTCGCCCCTTTTTATTTTATGTGAGTTATTAATTAAACAAAACATTAAAATGATTGTCATTTTCAAAAAATATTATTCTATAAAATAATGTTTAATCGTAAGTAAATTGATCAATGAATGTAAAAACATGCAAGTACGATATTCGTGCTTCGTAACAGCTGTTTGATTAATTTTTTCGCCTATTTTACACGAAATTTTATTTATTATTTGGCAGTATATTTGGTTGGGTGGTGAATGCATTATTCACTTACTATATTATGGGTGGGAGGTGTAATATTGTTTTGAATTCTTTACGGTGGAAATGGATTTTTTTTTGTTTTGTTACATTGACAGAAAAATTATAATACGTACCGACACCGGAATAAACGAATAATGTCAGCGGATCTCCCACGTTAAGATCATTTGCTTTCTTGCTTTGATGTGAGTTGTGTGCTTTTTTTACTTGGAAATGGACGACGTGTTACGATACACTTTGTATATAATGTTATTTTGTACGTTGTTTAATTCTTCATTCTCAGTTTTTTTTTTTTCATTTTTATAATTTTTTTTTCTCGACTTTTCCCCGTATTGTATTTTATTAAATTTTCTTTATTTCATTAACATATAAGATGTTTTTTTCCTCTAAATAGCTGTAGTATTCGTTGCATTTTTGTATTTTGTTTATTTGCATGCCGATGGAAGTAATGAATTATATGAATCATTTGTATTTTAGCCGCTGCATAACCCGTTTATTTTATACGACTTTGATATTTGATGTGGCTCTAGCGGACTATTCTAGGTAATATCAAATGTGTGTATGCGGGCTATTTCGGCATAGTCTTTATTTATTAATTAATTATTCGGATTACGTATTTAACTGGATTTGCTGAATGCTGAATTGCATCTCTTCGTATGGAATCTAAATTTCATCAAAATATCACCGTGTTTGGTAGTAAAATCATATCGAATCGGAATTATTTTTTAAGTGCCACATAATACAAATAAATAAATAATTTTGGCATAAAATTTAAAAAGCATTTTTCAATACTATGAATCATTCGGTCGGTTTCGTTCTTTGCTAAATTCAGTAAAACAGTGCCATCTACCGAAAACCACAAAAATCATTATAAGCGCAGCTTAAAGTTATTAAGTTTTATATTTGCTTTCAATTTTTTTTGGATATAATAATCGAAACAAGAAGATTTCGTGAAAATGATTTTTTCTAGCAAAATTTATTCATTTTTTATAAATTTAATCGAATATAATTAATGGGCCTTTTTTAAATGCTGATGTGCCTCGAATTCTGAGTCGAATTTGCAATCGCACAAGTGACAGGCGTACGCGTTTGGAATTAGGTGATTTCGTTTTAGATGTTCTTCCATTTCTTCATTCGTACATTTGGCGTAGCAAATGTGACATGATTTTTTGTTTAAGCCACCATTTGAACGACCTTTCGATACCGATTTGCTTGTGTCAATTTTTCGTCGACATTTTGCCATGTGATGTACCAAATAATTTAGAGATATAACTATTAGATTACAATGTTTGCATTTGAAGCAAGCAAGTTCATGTTGTCGCAAATGGGTTACACTTTCAAAGGACTTTTTGCAAGTACGACAACTATTACAGGTACCAGGTAAACCAGACGTTCGAATTTGTGATTTGCTGGCCATTCGATGCTGTAAAGAATAGGTTTTTTTGACTAAATTCTTTAGCGGAGGTGTTCGTATGACTCGCACTTTTCGCATCTTTACATCGGATGACCAGAATTTTGGTTTCACTTCAGCCTCTTGGTGTCCAGGTTCTTCCTGTTGTTGTTCAGGTTCTTCCTGTTGTTCAGTGGATGCAAGTGGATCATTCACCTGGATTAATTGGAAAAAACATAAGAGATTATGTGGGAGATACAAATTGGCGACGATAGGAGAGGCGGTTTTTATATAATATATCGTTAGATATATAAAATCGAAAGTTTATATGTATGTATGTCCAGGGCGAGTTGGCGGCTGATTGGTTTGAAGTACTGTTGGAAATGTCTTATGTATTGAGCAGTTTTAAATTTAAAATCGCAAACAATAATGCTTAAATTTAAGAGTTTCTAATCGTAATCGGTCTTGTGCAGGAAAAAAATAGAGTAATCACTATAGGAGTTGAAGCACAATGCAATAAAAGTGTGGATATTATTGCATATTCACAACCAAATTTATATTATTAAGCAGTTTTATAGTAAATATAATGAAATTGATCGTTTACCTCTTTCGTATCATGTGGAAAATTTGCTATGAAAACTTCTGGCTCCTCGTCAACATACACACTTTCTGGTTCCTCATCTTCATTCGATGCATAGTCGTTATTCAAACTTGAACATCCTTGATTATACAAATCTTCATAATTTAAATCATTTTCTTCCAATTTTATCAAATGATTTAATAGCATTGTTTCAGGGGGAATATCTTCTTGTGAATTCGGCTGAATTTCGTCCGGAATTTCTTCTTTAATTTCTTTTTTTATATACATTTCGTCCATTTCGTGGAACTATAGTTTCGAAAAAAATATAAACACTAAATTTGATCGCTTGAATATTATATTAAATGTACTCACGTTTGTTTTTACTTTGTGTCGTTAGTAGGTAAAAAAAAAAAACATTAAAATGACAGCTGTCATCAGTGTTTGTGGCAAATTCGCCGCAGCAAGTCTCGCTTGGCAGTGGGCGACAGTTTTGATTTTAAGAATTTTCTTTAGTTCTATTGATTTTAAATAACAATGTTTATTATAATTATATTTATATATTTTTTTTGGTTTTGTTTTTTTGGTCCACAAAAATGTTCAACTAATTTTCAATTCTTTTCAAAATTTAGCTATTTCTTATTCAACTGTGTGATGTTTTCGCTTGTTGACCATAACCATGCCGCAGTTTCTTCGCATTGAGCTGCCTTTGATACCGGTGCAATTGCGCAGTCCGCAAAATATTGGCCATCAACTTCTTCCAGAGCAGGATCAACGGCTAACATTATGGATGTTTGTGCACCCGATATTGGTGTTTTTATTAAATTTTGAAATGGTAACAAAAGATAATTTAAAATGCCAAAATGACGCGACAATTCCGTTTGTACTGCCCCTGGATGCAAAGAGTTACAAGTAACTTTCGTTCCTTTTAACCGTTTGGATAGTTCCAAAGTAAAAAGTATGTTTGCCAATTTGCTTTGTCCATAAGCCGCCATTCTTGAATAAGATTTCTCTGATTGTATGTCATCGCGATTGATTTTTCCAAATTTATGAGCAAAACTTGAAACATTGATGATACGAGCTGGTGCCGATGACTTTAATAAATCAAGTAATAAATTGGTTAAAAGAAAATGTCCGAAATGATTTGTGCCAATTTGGATTTCCAATCCATCTACGGTGGTTTGCCTTTCTTGAATCGCCATTACGCCAGCATTGTTGATTAAGATATGCAACTTTTTTTCACACGTTTTGAATCTATTAAAATGAATATTGATTAGATTTTAAAAATATGTAAAAAAAGAAAACCACAAATCATCTTGGACATTTCCTCCTAACGAATTTATTACTTGACTTGATGAAAGCATCAACTCCAAGTCGTATCATTACCGTCTCATCTACTGCACATCGTTATGGTCGAATAAACCGTACAGATTTGAATATGGAAAACTCATACAATCAATATCAAGCATATTTCCAGAGTAAATTGGCTAATGTTCTTTTTGCGCGTTCATTGGCAAGTCGTCTTTCAGGCACTAGCGTTACGTCGAATTCGCTGCATCCCGGTATAGTTCATTTGAAAATTTTAATATCACCGTTAACACTATTTATGAAAACACCAAAATCTGGTGCACAAACATCCATAATGTTAGCCGTTGATCCCGCTCTTGAACAAGTTAGTGGACAATATTTTGCTGATTGCCGTATCACAAACGAAAGTGGGGCTGCCCGAGACGATGAAATGGCTGAATGGCTTTGGGAAGCTAGCGAATATATGGTTCATAAAGATGTAATATGTAAAACAGAAAAAGATTACGAATCATAAATTATTTGTTTAAACTAAATAAAGTCATTGTCACATTGTCAAATGTTCACAGAACGCACTTTATTAAAAAAAAATATGTCTTTGAATGTATTTGTAAATGTCAAAGTGACATTACGAATTTGAGTTTTGTATCAAAGTCCAAATGGTTATGAAAAAACAGAACAAGTATAGCATAACTTTTGATTTAGTTTTTAAATAATTTATGGCGAATAGATTTTGGTAAAATAAATAAATGAAAAATGATAACCTTAAATATTGTGAGAAGTGGAGCCATTCCATTGTTTCAATCGAATATGCTTCGATTGCGAATACCACAAACATCAACATTTGAAATGACCCAAAGCAAATCTACAAATATTGATGTTCTTGATATATTTACAACCAAATTGTTGTCGCAGAAATCAGCGTCACCCACAAAATTTCAACCAACAATCGAAGCGGATATAAATCGAAGATCAGAAAGTGAAACAAAAGCTAAGTTGAAAGTGGACGTAAACAATGATTCTAAATATATGGTTAATTGGAGTGAGGACGAACTCGACCGAAACTTAATGGTCTCGATGGATTGTGAAGATCGAAAAACGTTCGATGAAATCGTTGAACAAATGTTAACATTGAAGCGACTGCCCTCCGAAAAATTAATTGTACGTGTACTATGTCACCTGTGCGACGATAGTGAAAATTCAATGAACACAATTTCTCATTTAATCGATTTGTGTGGAGAGATAAATTTGGAATTTTATGCAAAAAATTTGGATTTTGAGCCATTTCTTTCTCAACACTTATGGAAATGTCAAAGATTCGATGATGCACTGAATACACTGAATTCAATCTATGGTGTAACAAATAAAACTACAAAAAGCCTTATTCTTCGAAATTATCGACAAATTATTTATGATGCTGTTAAGAATCAAGATGAATCTATAGTCGATAAAGTTATTTTTCACGTTACACAAATCAATGACCGTTATAATGAATCGATTTTGATTATTTATACATGGAGTGATTGTTTTTTCAGTGAATTATTCAGAAATCAAAAAAAAGCTGAAGCATTATTTATAGCACATGATGTGATTAGAACGGCTGTTTCAAAAGATATTGGATGGATTGCGTTAACCTTATTAAAACAACACAATATCGATGCCATGCATCGGTTAATTGAACAATGTCTTGCAGAAAATTTAAAGAAGGAAGTTGGTATATGTTTGACAGCCCTTTTCGATTATCATTGTAAGTTTGACATGAATTTCTTTTCAAAGAAAAGAGAATAATACATTTTTTTTTCATTTATATTTTATAGATTGGCGTAACGATTTACGTGCATGCTCCGAAGTGATGAGCACCAGTTTGCGATTGAAAACAAACGTAACAAGCAATCAAAATCAGAAACTATTAAATTTACTGCTTAAGAAAACACCAGATGAAAAACCACCATCCAAACCATCTGGCTCTCGATTCGAGTTCAAATTTTAGTATATTTATAGAATTCCTTTTTTTTTAGATCGATTAAAAAACGAAAAAAAATATATTTAAAAAGAATTGATTTATTTCTTCTTCTTAATAAAAATATTTTTGAATTAATATATATTATACAAGAGTGCGTTCCATCAAACGCACCCATCGAAAATTCACCGGCATCTACCCGTTGAAAAGGTCACTCATTCAAAGCCCAGCAAATTAATAAATCATTTAAAGCAAATCTGTAAATCACGTATTGATTCAATTTTGTTGAGAACCGCTACTATAGCTACGGATTTTCCTTGGTTGGAGGAATCACATTGTTGATATTGTAAACAGCTCTTCACAGGTTTGAATGAAAACTCAATTTGAACAGCATGCAACGACCTATCGAATTGTATTTATAGACATTTGTATAATATAAATATATAATAAATGCATACCTTTGTATAAGAAAGAAACTTATTATATGAACTGTTGCGATACATAGTGCACGGTAAACATAATCTGTTGGCTTCGCTTTGACACCCACAGTATCTTACTGTCAAATTCATTTCAACTGTCAAATGTCGAAATTGTAATTCTCTGTCATAAAATAAATAAATAAATGCAATAAATGCAAAAAAAAATTCTTTATTGCCAAACGTTTTTGTGAACGAATTATTTTTTTTTGTGCGACAAATAAACTGTTGGTTTTGAATTATAAAACGTAATCTCATACTGTATTCACATCTGTCAAAAAATATATTTTTTTGTTGGAAGTTAATTCATACACTATATATGCTTTCAGAGATTGAGTTAAAAGTGTGATATTAAAACTTTAAATTCGAAAAATAGAAATAGTTTGATGTGTCAGTTGGAATCTTTTGTTTTTATTGTTTAATTTACAAGTATTTTCATGCAAGACGTGAAATAGAGAGAATATAAAAAAAACTTTAATAGCGTATGTATCTAACTAAACTAAACTAAAGTGAATCGAACATAGCGTTTTCTTGCAAAAATCCAGTTTCATATCATGGAAACTATTATCAAACTTGAGCCAAATTCAGGTAAGTTTTCACATAAATCAATTAATGAATTGAATCTATTGTGTGAATATTCTCTCTGCTAATAACTTATATGGTTGAAATTGCATTACGTGCATTCGTTTGTCTTTGTCCCAAACGTGATTATCAAAATTAGAACAGAAATATTTCTCGATTATTTCATTTGTGAAAAAATTATTGTCCTTATCAATATTTTGTATTAGTACGAGTGCGCACTCATATCTTACATAATTCTCGCCTTTAACCATCAGTTTTTGTCAATTATTTCATCTCAAATAAATCAGGCACGCCTGACTTGTTATTTACTGAAAAATAATTCGTAAATCGTTCAGATTGAATGACATTTCATAAATATTTCCACGAAACTTTCCCAAACATAAACATGAAAATTTGACATAGTTCGTTATCGTTGCATCAATTTCATCCACGAAGTGAATACAATTGTAAAGATGAAAACATGAAATATTTCTACGATTTAGATTTCATATGTCGCAAACACCTAGATCTAGAATTATTGAAAGCGTCAAATTGACTGGAATGCAAGCAATGATTCATCTTAAATGCTCAACTATCATTTTCCAAAAAGATACCGGTTCAAAGTGTTGTGGATAAAGTGTCAATATAAATTCATAAATCTGAATTAATCTATAGCTAACTAATTGTTGCTGTTGTTAAAATCAATCAATCGGTAGCGATATGGACACGTCGACGTTTACAATTATGCTCAAAACACAAATGAAATCCAATTCAATTTATTTCATCGGATATGCAAGCCAATGCGATGTGACATTTGTCGTATAGATAATAAGCAACAACAACAACAATAATAATGACGACAAAGACAGTAGCATTCGTAGTAATCGTCGGTGAAGGTGGCAGCATCAATGCATCCATTTATAGTTTCATTTTATTGCATTTGAGTGCAATCACCTTACATCTAATAGATTTTTATTTTGGTTGGTCTGCATCCTTCGATTTCCACCGAAACTCACAGCAATAAATTTAAGGAAATGAAAATAATATTATTTGTATTTGTCAAATGCAGCCAGTGCTGGTGCATTTGTTTTTTTATGGTTTGTAATATTTTTAGTTGAAGAGATCCATTCGTTGCCATTGACGTGGTTTGGTCTAATTTTGGAACCTCAATCATTTTCTTTTTCTTGAGAGTTATGTGTTCAACAAAGAAAATATATGGTTGAATCGTTTGAAAATTCAATACGTTTGTATGGAGGGGATTCTATCTTTTCGGCATTTTCTCTGTGTTGAAAAAGAACGACAGTAGAAAAGCCGAACGTCAAACGAAATATCGATTTATGCTTCAATACTAACCATTTAACAAGTTTGTTTTATTACAGGGATGTTAGTTTCTTACATACTTGCAATAAATTTGAAAAATATTTTTTTGAATCAAAGTTCAATTTGTTTACTTCAAACAATAAGTAAATCTCTTTTTAAACAATTTCCAATAATTTATTCGATTTTTGAACTTATTTTCAAATATTTTAAATTCATTTCCTGCGCTTCAGATTTTTACACGAACACATAAACCAACAAAACGCACATAAATACACACACACATATATATATGAAGATTCACATTACTACTTGGTGTTCACTGTGAGTGTGAACAATTTGGCGGGTTTTTATTTGTGTGCCATATATGTGGATGTGTGAGTAGCACGATTTTTTGATGCTTCAAATGGACAAGCATTTTCATTCTTGATTTTTATAGGTATTTGATGGCAACCGAACCGAGCAATAATATAATTGCTTGAATGTCAGAAAACAGAAGTGAATTGACAGCTGTCATACATTGTGCAAGCATCTAAGAAAATTTGCAAGCATTTTTCTTTGTTTGTTGTTTTCCACAAAATGAATTTTTAATTGAAAAGTGTATAGTATTAAAGTTAGTTCAATCGATCGTTAAAACAAAAATTATGATTTAAAGTATGCGTTGATAAAATCCGGTAAAGTCAAACGTAATTTGGAATCCATTTTGAAAGCATATATATCGGCTGTGGTGCATTTTATAAAATCATATAACTCAAACAGTTCATATATATAAATTTATATATATAATTATCATTACAACGAAAAGCATTGATGAAAGAACAATTTCTTCTTCTTTTTCTTTTCAATTGCCAAAATAAAGTTTTTGCGACCAGTTTACAAATCCAAATTATCGAGAAAGTGTATAGTTGTTACTGATAAATAGAAACTTGTGCGGGAATAATGAAATATGTAAATGCTTGATGCCTAGTTAATATTTGACGCTGTTGACATTCTTATCGACCAAAAGTCAGTTTTGATGCCACAATCCGTCATTCAAGATTGGCCAATTGTAAACATCATTATTGAGTGATTGATCTAAAAACAATAAATTTCAAATAGTTCATTTCGATTTGATTTTATATTTTACGTGAAACCACAAATTGAGAAAATTCTTTCAAAGTCAAATTATTTGATCGTTGAACATAAATTCTCTACCAATATCGGTTTTATTTTTCGGATTAATAAACCGCTCAGTAGCTGTGCTGTTGTCGGCCATATTAGTTTTTGGTTTGTGTTTGTGTTAGTGAATTGTTTCATTGTATTGTATCGTTCGCATCGTTCACTAGTGTCGCTTCGTCGCTACCATTATATGAGAACCCCATTTTATTTGGAGTTAGCTTGTTGTGAAGTCGAACGTATATTTCTTAAATCTGCCATTCACAAAAACAACAAATACAACAACAACAACTACAACAACAACAACCAAAACGACACTGATTACTTCATATTGAATAAATTGTTATAAATTTACGGGAAACAAATTCAAAACGAAATAAAATAAAATAAATAGAAATCCATAAAAATGGATGAGCGTGATATGCAATTGGAAGCAAATTTTCAAACTCAACTACTTACACAAGAAGGTACGTGTTCGTTCAAAATATTATTTCAATATAGATTTTGACATGTTAATGGATATTTTTCGAGTATGTTTTTTTCTCATGCAATTTGTCGTCTTTTGACATTTTACTTGTCGTTTGGCATAAAGACAGCGACAGATTTTGTATGACTTTTGTAATATTTCAAATACGATTCGATGGTGGATAGACATTTGAGAGCTTGAAAATGTGTCATTACGTCATTTTTGTTGCTGTTTTCATCATTTTGTACTATAAATCGTCGAATGAATGAAGCCAATGCGAGCATTTTATATACTTGAAATTTCGATTTCAAACATTTTATTGATATTTATATAGCAACCGAACGTGTATGGAATATCTTTTTTAGAAATGATATTTCGTTTGGAAACTTCATTCGAATTTGTGTCTTTGGAGCATTTTTTCCTCCTTCATATAATATTTCAATGTAATTTTTTTTCGAATTTCATTTCATTTAATTAATTCGCAACACTTCTAATTCGGTCCAACTTCCTTCAATACAAAAAAAAAAAAACAATAAATAAATTTTTGTAAATTGGACAAAAATAAAATTGTTCTAATATTTAAAAATTAATGAACATAAAAAATTGTCCATCGTTTTCTTTTAATTTGGCTCATACTTTCAAAACAAAATGGCGTCATTTTCTATGTTGTACGTTTATATATATATATATATATATATATGAAGTACTACACAGCACTCGATGGAATGGCTTTATTGCTTTTCAAAATACAATGCGGGAATTCCATTTCAAAAAAGTTTCATAGTCAAATTTGAAAGAAATCAAATGAAATATAGCGCTTGAGCGCGAAAGAATAAGTAAACAATTTTCTATTTTGTTATTTTCTGTTGTTCACATGAAAAGTCATCATTTTATTGTAACTTGGCATTTTGATGACATATAGAACGTCAAAGTGACACAAATGAAATAAAAACCATACAATGATAGATTAAATATCAAAACATTTTTCAGTCATCAAAATTCCCCGACATTCAATTAAAATTTTAAAAGAAATAATTTTTTTTTAACCAATAGCATACATAGTCATTTCATATTAAAAGCAATCCAATATGGTTGCCGATTTTCCAACACCACACTCATCCATAGTGATGAAGCGAGCAATTGTTAAAAAAAATAACGCGCAAAATGCTGAACGCTTATGAGACATTGTGTGTGCTTCTTCGCATACATACGCACTGATGCCATACCAATTGGTTGATATTCAGCGACACCAGATAGCGCCACAACAGCGAGTCAGCGTGATGCTAGTTTGCTTGTACAGTCAGACTGTGTACGAAATAGAGCGAAATACGTCCATAGCGTTGTTATACTTGTGAGAATTGTATTATTTCTTCGATGCGTTTGCAACGTATATTTGGCTTGCGAACACATTTCAAAAGTATTCATTGGAAAAAAAAGTTGTCCGAAAATTTATTTATTTCATGTCATTTTGAAGTATTTTAAAGCATCATTGACATTTGTCGCCTTTCTGAAGTTTAACCAAATGTCTATTAGACGTAGACGTAAGCGAATAAATTCTTGTCAAAATTCAAATTGTCAATTTTAATTTGGAAGAGTTTTGAAGTTTTGTAGTCAACCATACAACTTTGATAGTCACATTGACACTTGGTTTGTTGATATTTACATTTCTTCAATTTAATACTCTGTGACATGTGTCGATCCAAATAGAAGCAAATCTAATCAACATACAAATTTCATTCTAAACGATACATTTGTTTTTGTTGTCCACACACCTTTCAATAACAAAATATTATTATTTTTTATCATTTTGCTACTTTTATTCAATCGAAGAATATTTGTCTTATTTTTATTCTAGCTCGTGAACGATTTCATTCCTCGAGCGAAGAATCTCTTGGATCAGAACAAGAAGCAGAAGCAGAACGTGAACTGCAACGGCACACAACGATGGGTAAGTTTAGTTTGCGAATGATATTAGCTTTTAAGTTGATATCGTCGAAAAATCGCAAAAAAAATAGAAGAACTATAATTTACATTAAATCTTTGTGAACAGAAATTGAATATGCGGACCCAGACGATGAAGAAATACATAATTCATCGTCATCTCAAGTACAAACAGTACGCAAGCGACGCGGAAATTTACCAGCACATTCGGTAAAAATTTTAAAACGATGGCTATACGAGCATCGTTATAATGCCTATCCGAGCGATGCGGAGAAAATAGACTTGTCACATGAGGCCAATTTAACAGTTTTACAAGTATGTAATTGGTTCATTAATGCGCGTCGTCGAATTTTACCCGAGATGATACGACGAGAAGGGAACGATCCAATGCATTTTACGATATCGCGACGAGGTAAAAAATTGGCCAATGCATCTGCACAAAACACATCTGTCACGAGCGTTAACAATCTATCAAATCAACTAGTTGGTAGTCCAGTTGAAGAAGTTGTAAGTTTATAATTGCCGAAATTGGCTATTTTGTGTTTCCATTTTTTTTTCCAACTTTCAATTTAAATTAATTGGCATTTTTCAAAAATAGATTGTCGGTGCCACGGAAGAAGTTGAAGATGAGGAGATTATTGAACATGATGAATCTACAGTAACACTGAGCGGCCATTATTTGCAAATGCCTGATGGTACACTGGTCAAAGCCGAAGCAGACACCGAAATCGATTTCGAAGATAACATCATTTACAGGTAATTAACTTTTTTTTATTTAGAAATGTTTGCGCTGCAGTGGAATACTATAAGTATTCCTGCTGGTAGCGATTTCAAGCAATGCCAATAATAAAATGTATTTAGATCGGAAGACGAAAGCGCCAACGAATACGAAGCGTGTACCAGTCCAACTGAGGAAGTCGATTCGAATAGCGGTTGGCAAGAAGTGATCAGGTACATTTTTCTTTCTAATTATATCATATGCATGTTTTGTCAGTCAAATATTTGCTGAATGATTAAACGAAAAGAACTATAGTCAAGAGATATTTTTCTGGCATCACTTCAAATCAAAAGTTGTTATAAAAAATTGTTTTTTTTTTTTTTTTTTTTTTTTTTTTTAAATATTAACGGACTAAAAAGTACAAATATAAATTGTCATCAGATTAAAATTTAAATATTAATTGCTTTTCTGGATTTTTAAAAAAATTATTTTCTGAAAAAGTAGTGAAGAGGTAACCACAAGCCCAGTAACAACAACAGAATATTGGAATGCAGCACCACATCCACAGTTAGCTCATTTACCGCAACTGCCGCACCCACTTAACACAAAAGTGGTGACAACAACAACAACAGTACCACCACAAACTGTGAAGAAAGTTCCAACGACGCAAACCACAAAAATCGGTATGTTATTTCAAATTTTTCTTCTTTTTTGTAATTTAAGGTGCTAACCAAGCACTTGGAACTGATCGTCCATTTATTTTGGTTTGGTCTGGACATATAATATTGCTTCACATTTTCTGTGTATGTCTTTTTTGGATTGTTTTCATTACCTTATTTTGTTCTTATGTCCTTCAAATAATTTTGTGAAATGCAGTTCCAATCGGCTTGTCACGTGTTCAAGTGGTACCAGCAAATGCAACGCCGAAATTTCAAACGAAATTAGGCGAAACGCAAATTGTGAGGACGACCGGACAAAAGAATAATAACAACAAATCGTTGGGTACAGCAACGATAACAACGACAACAACATCACCGGGCGGACATATTGTTAAAGGTAAACAAAAAAAATTTAATATTTTATTGGAACATAATTATGCGTAAGTCACGATCTTAAGAACGTAAATTGATCTATCTTAATGGATATTACAAAAGAAAATGCTATAAAATCAGAAAAAAAGGAATCAGTAGGTGTAAGTTGAATTTAACAAGTTTCCATGAGATATTGGTGAGAAAGAGAAGAATCAGAAGAAGCATTATGTAAACAAAGGAATTGCAAAAAAGAAGAATATATGAAAACAAAAGCAAAGTAGAGTCGATTTGCTATGCTCCTTTGCCAAGACGCTTGGAACAGACAAGAGTTACATACGATTCGATTGTTTCATGACCAAATTTATTGTTTTTTCCCTGTTGTTCCCCCGCGAGCAATGAAAATGGAAAAATCCAAAAAAGTGTAAAATACTTAACTTAGAGTATTTTTGCCAACAACAGCTTTCATCTAAATTCACAATTTTTTTTTTCAAAAAGCAAGCATAACTTTTAGCCTGTTCGTTTTTCAATTTGGCAATTTGATTTTCATCACTTAAAGGTTTCGAATTTTTTCTCGATTGATTTCACTTTTGTGAGCCATTTTTACAAACACAGTGATATGAAAGATAGATGACAAGTGCAAGCTGAAAAATACTCTGCATCAAACGATCGGATAGAATATTTGCAGGCCAAAAATGGTTCAACCAGTTGATTTGTGGTTTCGCTCGCACCAAATGAGTTAAATGAATTGATTCGCGCTCGTATTTGATCGCTTTTATTCATTCTTTGCGAAATAATTTCAATGCAATACTCTATGAGCTTTTGAATCATTCCAAAGAACGTCGATAAGAGACATGTATAATTAAATATTTAAAGTCTCATAAACTGTACATGGAAGATGTACAAGAGACTATAAAATTGTTTTTCCGCCTTGAAGAGAAAGTATAGATTTTCCGAAAAAGTGCTTGAAATAAAGTACAAAACTTGGCGATATTTTGTGGAGAATAAAAAATTAATGCATATTTTGAGACATTTGTATATTATGTATACAAAACAGGGACCGGTTCGCGCATATTTCTATGCAATATAGCTATGCTAAGCATAGCGGAGACGCAAGCCGCAACACACCCGTCGCCATTCGATTAAAGCTATATATTATGCGTACGTCTCTCAATACAGAGTGAACGGCAATGCGTCGGTTGCATTTGCCGCTATGCTTGGCATATCTATGCTACCTAGCGTATCTAGGCAAGCATGGCAATATGCACGAACCGGTCCTTGATACAAAAATCAAAACTATAGCTTTCAAGTTGTTTGAATCGTCGTTTAGCAAAACAAAAAATCTATCAATATATGTACAAACAAGATTTTCACATAATCCATACACGAAGCCCCTGCTTGCATCGCCATTCTTTTTTCATGTGCGAATTTTCATTTGATCATTTCTTTAAAAACATGTAAAAATAGTCGTCAGTCAACAAAGCATTTTTAGAGCATTTTTTTAAACATAATTGTAAGTTCAGATGTACCTTGATCTAGGCAATTACATTATGTATTTTTTTTTATAAACTATTTCTTCTTTTCCAAAACCTTTTTTTGACAATTTTTACTCTTTTTTGTGTAAAAAATAACCCATTTTCAAAAACAACCAAAACATTTACCTACATATACATTCTTTTTTCTCTAAACCAAACGTTTTCTAATCGGTTTTATTTGTTATTTAGTGAAACTATTGAAATTGAATTCTGGGATGGGCATCATCACCAAAAATGAGCCGAATTCCACACAACAATAAAAATTGTTAAAAAAATGATGTGGATGATCGCCTAAAAATACCGTAATCACGCGCATATGTAGCCAATAAATGAAATATGAATGAAATGTGAAATGAACAATTACAAACCAAAATACCAAACTCAATTTAATGAACAGTAAGCTCACACACACACATACATACACACACACACACACACTGCAAAAGCCAAACCGTTGCAAAAACTAGATTTGTGCACTGAAAGTAATAGAGTGCAAAAAAGAGAGAAAGAAAGAGAGAGAGAGAGTGAAAAGTGCGAGGACCATGCATCTTCAAAAACAAATTAATAAAATAAATTGCAAATTGCATTTATGACCAAAATTATTTCGCAAAAACTTCCCGAACTACACGTCAAGCAAAATACAGAGCAAAACAGTACAGTACAGAAATGAAAACATACCCATTCGAGATTGAATTAATTGTACGTGTATGTTGTAGCCTTTAGATTCCATTAGGATAGAAAGACAGAAATTTATAAATAAAAAAAGAAAAGAATATTCAAAAGCGAAAATAAAACAAGAAATAACACAGTAACATGCATTGTTGGTGGTGGTATAATGCTCCGTGTCCCAAACGAAATGAGACCAGAACCACGAATCAATATGACAATTAACCAGACGAACTTCAACGCAAACACACGGTAATTCCAACTCATCAGCGACAACAAGAAATGAACACAAAACATCATCGTAAAGTCTTTTTTTTATCTAATCTTTGTTTTTTTTTTACTTAGAATTCAAGCCAATCAATTCGATGAAAAAACTCATCGTTGATTATTCGTTTTCTATTTTTGACATTTTATTTTGAAACCACAAATCTATAGATTGAAGCAAATTAAGTGCAAACGCAAACTTTTTTCCCATGTGTTTAATTTAAATAGGAGATCAATTCAATTCTGAATTTAAATTAAATCTGCAAGAAAAGATAAAATTTACGGTTGCGAAAATGGATATAATTGCAAAAGAATTCATTCAAATTATTTGTACTTTTATAAATAGTTGTAGCGGTTAAATTATTATATTCATACTAAAATAGAAAAGGTAAAAAAAACTTGGCTGGTCCGTAAGATGTGCCCATCCTAGTTTAAAAAGAAATGAGAGAAAAGAACCACTTAAACTTTCCGTTTTTAATAAGTTGAATTTACTGATTCCACATCCTCTTACAAAAAAAAATGTTAACAACACCCATGTATGAAGATGATCGATTCGCTCGGTCAGAAAGACCATAATAATCTTACCCGTTTCCGATTTCAGAATTGAAGTAAATTCGAGCGTTGAAACTTATTTAATCTCACAATCTTGTGCTCTTTCATTCTGATCGATCGAATCGATTCAATATGTGGTCGATGATCAGCTACAAGATTAGGCGGTTTTTGTTTCACTTATTTCTTCTTTCTAATTTTTTGTTTTGTTTTCAAAAAGAAGAGAAAAAAACATACAAGTATATGATTAAAATTTTGTTGCTTTCTGAAGATGGATCAGAATGAAAATCTATTTTGAGGCTTCTTAAACTCAAACGATAGAAATTATACATCAACAAAATTCTTGAACTTGCTTTGTTACATATTGATAGATTTCTCAATTTAACAAATGGAAAAATTGAATTACAACAGCCTTGAAATATATTTTAGCTTAAAAATTTAAAGAAAAAAATCATTTGTTTTATGTGTATATATCAATTTCGTTTGTTCTTTATCATTGATTTCAATGTTATATACTTAACTCTGTGACTAAATTGTATTTGAACAAACGTAATTGGAAAGTATTATAAACAAAAACGAAAAATGAATTTGTTGTCCATATTCTGGAAAAAATTTGTTACATTTCAAATCAAATTGATTTGTTTTGAAAAGCAAAGCCACAAATACAATGTTAATGCAAATTCATTCAAAAAGTTCATTTCTCTCACATTACAAACAAAATAGAAAATGTATAGAATTTTTTTTTCCAATTTTTCGATTCTTCTTCGAAATGAAACAATTGTTAACACAATCAGAAACTTTTTAACGACTCTAACTATCAAAATATTAAAAACTCTTTAAAAAACAACAAGGGAAATTTAGCACACACACAAACAAATATAAAACACCATGAAAAACAAAAAAAAAACGAATTGAAAATATCTATAAAAAGATGAAATTTAAGGGAATAAAAAAAAAAAAAAAAGAAAATTAAAAACCCTCACGTAGTTCAAATGCAAATAGAACGTGAGTTCTTTAAATAGAGTAATAGTTAAGACAAATCTGATATACAGATCTTTGAAAAAAAAATCTTGATTAAAGTTTACCACAGTAAATTGTAAGTGGAAATGAAGAAAAATGAAAAATCGAAAAACGAAATTTTAAATAGAAAAGAGAAATTCAGAAATTTATGTAATTTTTTTTTTTTTTGCTTTTTTTTAGCTGTTTTTGTGTTGAGAACAAAAATGTCAAATGAAATAAAAACAAACCGATTTTTTGTCGAAAATTGAATTTCTTTGTTTTATTTGTTTGTGTGTGTGTCAAATTCATTTCTTTCGTTTTGTTTCTTTTAATTATTCTTTTTCTTTCTGAATCAAATGAAAATGGCATTCAAAATTGATTTGTGAGAACAAAAAAAAAAAACCAGCCAGAAAAAGTATAAATGAATGCAAACGAGAATCACATTCTCCAAAAAAAAGTGTTATATGAAATGGAAAGGCACCAAAAAAATAGAGACACTTTTAGAAATATAGTGTAAATTATATAAAAATCAATCAGTTTAAGACTTTTAAACGTACAACAAAAGGAAACAGCAACTCAAAGAAAATCGTTTTAAATTTAGATAAAAAATAATAATATGTCATTTCGATCTTTGTATTTCTTGTTTTAATTCTTAAGAAAGCTAAATAAAAGTTTATAGTTTTTAAACATCAATACTATTGTCGTTTTAACACATCTATATATAATATCTTTATGTTTTTTTACGAAAAAAAAAAAAAATACAAATTTCGTGTACGAGTAGTGTGAGCGGTGCGCGTAGCCAAAAAAATGTGAAATTTGCGGTAAAAAAAAATGTGAAATTTTATCTATTTCATATGTTTTCTTTTCTCAATTAAACGATACACAAAATCATGATAGAATTGTAATTTTGATTTTTCTCGAATTTTATTCATTTGTATATGTTTTGGATATTTATTAATTACGTAAAAAAATACGATTACAAATCAAATGCACACTAAAAAAATTAAACAAAAAATTAACATGATATAATAATTGTAATTGATTATTCATTGTACTGAGTTTAAATTGGAAATCGAAATGACACATGCAAAAGCAACCGAAACATATTCACACCACCACCACCAACACCAACACCAACACCAACACCAACACCACCACCAACAACAACATTCATCAACTTGAGCATTTATTCATTCATGTGTTCACCACTGGAAGCATTCTAATGCAAAATTCGAATCCAAGTGTAGAAAATCAATATAATTACATTTAGTTTTAACCTTTTATTGGCTATAATCTAGTTGTAAAGGCGAAAATTGTTCCTAAAGATGAAGAAAAAAAAATCATTTAAAAATTGGCACAATGAATTCAACATTAGAGTGTTGAAACTGTGAAAGAATTTTATAAAGATAAAAAAACAATTTGCCAATAGTGAATATAAATAGCTTAGTTGTCATTAATCCATCGCAGTCGCATCTAATTCATTGTTATTTCTTTTTCGTTATGTGCAACATTGGAAACGTTTTCCTTAATTTTTTTCCGTTTGTAAATAGCTAAAATGTATTAATCAACCGACTTTTTCTTCCTCTCGATTCAAACACACAAAATTCAATAATCAGCGAAAGAATTATTTAGAGCATACTAAAAAAATATTTGACTTTGCTTAGGCATCTTACTATGAGATATTTTCAAATTTTGTGCAAACGTTTTTTCCATACAAAAGTTACAAATTATCCATAAAAAAAAACTACAAAAAGTGACTTAGATTCAAGTTCAACATCCATCAATATGATAATAAACTAAAAAAAAATATTTCTTTGGCGCATATATTTTTTTTCTAAATTACATAATTTTCTCGCTGATGAAACACATGACATTTACTTAATTTCGCACCAAATTACGCACTTCTCATCTTTTTCCGTTTATATTTTTTACATATATATTTTTTTTAATTGCAAACAAAAAAAACATTTTTTAATATATTTATTCTAGCGAATATATTCAAAAATATTTCTAAATAAATAAATATGTTTTTTATATTATTTAAGATCACAGTTCCGTAAAATTGGTGGCTGTTTTAGAGAAAAGAAAAAGAATAACGTTGAAAATGCAATCGTCGTCCACTAAGCAAGTCAAACGAAACCACTAAATAGAGATGTGTGTGTGTTTGTTTGTCTGAATTACATCTAAACGAAATTGAAATGAAAACGAATAAAAAAACCACAACCTAAAATTTGTTTGTTACACTAAATAAGCGATAAAGGGAAATAATGCCGGTGAAACAGATGCGACCGTATGTAATAATTTTTGATTCGAAGCTATGATATATGGATTTGTTTTTTTTTTTTCTCAAATGTAGCATTTGTTAGAAAGCTTTGAGAGTTTGCAGCAAATTCCGGGTAATCATGTGAGAAAAAAACAAGTCGATTAGTCCGGTCCGTTGGCTTTTTCAGAATTTTATTTTTGTTCATTGAGTTTTGATAATGTGTGAAAAAAATTTTTTTTTTAGTAAAATCAAAATTAAATTCTCTATCCTCAATCATTTGAAGTTATTGTATTGCCTACGATCAAATTTAGGAATATCTGAATACCGAATTTTACTAGGTTTTTTTTTATTTCGCTCATATTTCTGTTGACAAACGTTTAATGCTCGAAGTCCATTTTTGTGTACAACAAATTGAATTAGGCAATTGTAAAATGTATTGCAATGAAATCAATCAAACATAAATACAAAGCCAAGCAAAATTGAATAATCGATATCTTAAATCTTATATGTAATTTTAGGTGTAATCCGCGACGACAAAGACAAATTCAAATGTCTGTACTTGCTTGTGGAGACGGCGGTTGCAGTTCGACAAAGAGAAAAAGAACAAGATGATGATGTTCACGTTCTTGGTAACTAAAACGAAACCATAACAGCACCGATATGAATAAATTATAAAATACAAAGTGAACCTCCCTCATATTTATGCCTACAAAATCATACTTACACAAAACCCATACAAACACTCATTCAAAAAAAAAAAAAAAAAACACATTCAATCAAGAAGCGAACAATCATTGTAAAAAAAATGCAGTGAAGTGCGTTGAACCCATCAGGATATAATGTAAATCTATTGCCGAACAACAGGATCAATTAGTCGTTTTAAATTGGATATATAAAATCAATATGTAAAAAGAATGGCTGCTACTGCTGACATTTATGCTGCTGTTGCCGTAACTATAACGAACACACACAAACAAATCAACAGTGGAACAGGAACTAAAATTGAAAATGAATCGCAATCATTTTGCAACTTTGCGATAAATACACGCATTGAAAAAGATAAACACAACAACAACAAAATACAGATTCAGAATTCGAGCAGCCACATCTCCGTTTTTATACATAACTATATATTAGCAGCAAGATGTATAATATTTTTTGTATAAAGAAATCACACTGTGGCCCATTGTTGGCTGATTAGAGGATAATCAGAATGAAAGAACTGAAATAACTAACTATGTAAACACTCATTTCTACCAGATTTAAATAAAAAAAAAACAACTTCAATAAAAGAAATTATTGAAAAGATTACTACCGCAAAAGAATTGTACAAAAATAGAATTTCAACGAAATAATAACCGTTTTGCGGAACGAATAAAAGTTCAATTTTTATTTGAATTTGTCAATTGTTATTATTACATCCTTATTAGTTTCTTTCCGAACTAAGAGCGTACGTCCAAAACTGCCAGAATCAATAAAGTCGTTTCAAACCGAAATTAATCGCATTGAACCAAACCGAATTCTCATAGTCAAGCGTGACGTTTGTGATGATTTCAGTGTTCGTTCTGCGATCATTTGAAAAAAAAAGAGAAGAGATTGTGACAAAAAGAAATAAATAAAACTAAATAAAATGAAAAGGATAGGACTGAAAGATTTTTTTAGTGAAAGCAAGAAGTGATTCGATTAGTGACAAGAAAAAGCTATTTTAAAATGGTATTGTATAAGATTTGAAAAGAAAAGAAAAACAAGAGGAGAACGCACTGGAAACTAATTGAAACAAACAGGAAAAGAAAGCATATGAAATATATGAGAAAATTTTATTTTTTAAACAAAACGAGAAAAAAAATAATCTAAAAAAGCAAATTCTTATTGTAAATATTTTTGCCTGGAAAATCGGAATACCCCAATAACATAGCTGACCAACGTCAATTCATTTTTTTTTTTTTTTCATTATAATAATAATATTTTTCTGTTTAACTTTAACGCATAAGAACCACACAACACGTCACAAAAAAACATATTTACCCGATTCAGTGACATTTTCTGATATTGTTTGCATTCTTGAACATTTCATGTTATCATCAATTTATTTTTAGATAAAAACAAAACTGCAAATAAAAATTCAAATTTATGTGCGTATCAGTAAAAAAAAAGAAATTTTGTTTTAAAAGTTTATTTTCCACCTAACATTTTTACAAAAGTAAATGAAAAAAAAAAACGATTATGGTTTTAGAAATGAATTCCAATTGAGAAAAGATACATCTCCAATTTTGCGAATTTGAATAAAAAAATGATGAAATTAAATTCACAGTTGGGTTCATTTTTAATAATTCATAAATAGTGTATGAAAAAAATGAAATTTATTTTTTTATTTAAAAAGATATTTTTTAGAGTTTGTATTAATTCACGCATTCGATGGAGAAATATAAGGTGTACAAACAGCACACAGGCTGCCAAAAGGCCATAATAAAAAAAATCAATCCCAGTAATAACAAAACGTTTTCATGATATTGTTTAAAAAAAACTTAAATCTATTGATGTTGGTTCATTTCATTAATTCGCCACATTCCATCAAACTCCTTCTATCGTACTCGAGCTCATTCATCATGTCATTTGGTTGGTGTAAAAAAATCTTCATCTGCATTTATCAGAAGTCACATGTAAATGATGTTTTTATGCTGCTGCGACATCTCGTGATTCCAGATCATTTTAGGCCTGTGTGCTGGATTGTGGTGGATGCGATATGACCGTTGCTACACATAAACACAAATGTTCGCACAATATACACACACAGTCAAACTGTAAAAGGCTACGCTAAATTTGAATTTTTAAAGCAATGAAAGTGAATGAAATTTTTCTAACTATATGGAATAAACATGCGAAAAAAATCCAACAAATATAATAAATTGATACAAAAATATTATTGTTATTCTTATATTTTCAATTGATATTATTGAATCTTAAACTGAAAGTAGTTAAATAGGTATGTATGCACCATCGAAGGAAAATATCGTTGAATGAGGTTTTCAACATCATTTTGCAATCTTGTAAGTATTTATCTTATGGTAAAAGAAAGTGATGGGTGAGTGAGTGGAAATCCAAATGAATATCAAAATGAAATCTCGAAATTTCAAAAATGCCTCATACATAGTAAAAAAAAACAAATTTTAAGACCCAAAAGTTTATAATAAAAATGTAACAATTTAAATTCAAAAATAACATCGAAAATATACCGATGGCATCTGATTTGAGCGTAAATGATTAATCATTCATTTCGAATTAGTAGTACATTCATTGCACTCACAAATACCTGGAAGCCGTTTGTATAGTTTATTTTGGTTTTAGCCGTCATTATTTTGGTATGTGTATACCTACATAGCATTGAAGATGTACGTGCACATGTATTTGATATATTCTTTTGTTTGAGCGGTGGCCGCATGCTTGTATTCCTACTTCTCTTTCGCTTCTATGTTGTTGTTCTTTTTTTTGGCTTCGTCAGTATAAATTAGTGTGTATATAAATGTATATGTATATTTTTTATGTTTTACTTTGTATGCAACATTCATTTTATATACATACACCGAATACATACATATATTGCCGTTTTGCTCATTGTGTCTATTTCTTGTGGCTGTTGAATCAACACGTTACGGCTTGCTTTGACTCTCAATAAATAGCACGGCTACGAAATTACGAAACTTTTTGTTGAGATATGAACAGCCGACTGTACAAACAATACACATTCACCAGATTTCTTTCACATTTTCGAATTCAGTTGATGTGAATTCTTTGTTGAGGCAGGATTGTATGTCTACTAAGCTCTACTCTGAAAATATAAGGTACTAAGTTTTCTATATACTATTGTTTGTGTTCTGGTGTATTCTCGGTCGGCAATAGCCGAGAGAGAGAGAGAGAGAGAGAGAGAAAAAAAAATATGAGTAAAACTACAGTGCTAGTGCAGAAACGCAAGGTACACACAAGTTGTTCTTAAGGACGCTGCATAGAAGAATAACGATCATTTCTTTTGTGTTTTCGTTATTTTCACTCAAACAAAAAAAGAAATTTAAAGTTTTTTTCTCATTTTATTTTACGTGCCTGGTTAAAACTTAGAATCTAGTGAAGTAGGAAAAAAACTGGCTTGATGTAATTAATTGCCATTCATTTTTTTCTTTTTAAATGTGAAGCAATTTATAAAGTGCGTTTGAGTAATTTTTTTACATATGTGTAGCATCAAAAATTAGTATTAGTATTTGAGCATTGAGAAGCAGAGAAATAAAATTCAATTTATACTGGTTTACCAATACAAAAAAAATGAAAAACAGTTTCAACAACAATTCGCACAACATGTTAATTCATATATTGCTGTTTATTCTACAGAAAAACACTTGCCCACAATAAAACATAAACAAATCATCGTAATTAAACGATCAGTTCTAAACCCACTCAATTCTACTATTTCAAAATACTTGCAACTTACCATAGCGGGACTCATTTATTCGTCATTTTAATTATAGATATTTTGTGTGTTGACTGTTGTTGGTTGTTCAATGACCAAATTAAAGTTGAGCATTCACTCTAAATCTTCATTGGTCAAAACTCTTTTCAAAACATTCTGGAATTGATGTTATTCATTGAAATAGAATTAGAAAAAATCTATTCGTTGTATAAAGCACGTGACGCATGTTATAAATATGATCATACGATTTTAATGCAACTTAAGAAAATGTGAGACAGTTTGTTCATTTGAAAGTTAAGTTATTTCGTCTATTTGCCTCAATAACAACGAAAACCTGAGTTCAAAACAATATATATTAATTGGCACTTGTTAAACTCACCAAATGTAGTCGCAATGTGCTTCAATATTTCAACAATTTGATTCTGAACTCTGCTTCTGAGCCAGTGAGTTGGGATCTTATGATATTTTCTTTCATTAATTAATAATTGCGAATATTTGGATATACAATGCAACAAGTGAGTGTTAAAATAAATAACGAATTGATCATAATCGGCATTTTTCGTCACTACATATAAGTCTTTATGTGTTGAAGACCAAATCAAATTCTCGCTTTCTGAATCATATTATTATACGGAAAAATAAAGCAAAGAAAGAATTTACTTTGGCTTTATAAAGAAGCTATAGGTAAACTTTTTTCCATTATGTTTACTTATGACGCAATTTTCCACAAAATAAAATTATACATAGAATACCAAAATTTCCCCATCAAAATTGTGTGAATATATGTATAAATTCTTTATTCCATAGTACAGTGTACACTCACCTTAACATTTGAAAACAAAGACCGGAACGCTCGTTGGATGATTCTGAGTATAACACATGCTATGTATTCTTCAATATGTAAGAGTCAACGAACAACCATTTCTTCGTATTCTTAAAAAAAAGTAAAATCCAATCTCCAAGAATGAGACGAAGAAAATAGCAAGCGATGAAATTAAAAGAACAAATGGTTTGGACTCTACATATATACATGTCGAATATTGTTGTGATGGTAAAAATCTGGTAAAGCTGAACCAAACAATAACAACTTTTAACGCTGTCAATAACGGCAACAAAATTATTTTCTATACATTGGCTTTGGTAACATTTTCGCTAATACATACAGAGATCCATTTAAAGTATTTTGCACTCTCAATCAATCTGTTTCCCTTTCTTGCCTATAATGAGCTCTTCGTTAATAACACTCTTAAAAATATATGAAATGAGAGACATACGAGAAAATAAACCATACTATTACGGAACTAAATAAATCCCCGCTCACCATACAGAAATCGTATGAAAATGAAACTGAAGAAATATTAACATCAAGTGACGGAAAACGACAATCTATCTATCGAACTCATCCAATCATTGGCTTTAGAGGAAAAAAAAAGGTGAAATACTAAATAAGCGAAGATTTTCATTTTAAATAATGAATGCATGTAATGTGATTTGTAACCGCAGTAGCCAACGCAAAACGTATTTAAATTTGTATTCGAAAGCTCAACAATAACATACACTATCAACAACTCTTTGCTGCCAAGCATGATGACTTTGCCACTGAGTGTTCACCGGTTTTTAAAATTGGCATGTATTCTATGCATTAACTAGATACAGTTATGTACAAATTGCATTTTCTATTCATGCAAATGTTTCATTTTTCCTCCATTTTTTTTAATGATATGATGAACCCCACTGAAATAAAAAGCGTTAACTATTTTTTAAAGAAAATAATTGAATAATTTTCTTTCCTTCTAAGAAACATGGAAAAATTACTAACCAAAAATCATCCACAATCTGGCTCAAGTTTACGGTCGAATTGAGAGAAAAATGTGTGTATCAGTCATTTTTAACGTCACAATGGAAATTAAAAGAAAAAAACATTCAATTTACATCATCTACTTTTGACTGTGTCTACAATATTAAAACCGATACACCATCCGAGCGCATTTATCACTCCATCTTTCAATATTTGTGCATCGATTCTGGCACAAAGCGTCTGTATCGATTCAAATGGCAGTGAAACATAGTGTAAACACAGTGTATGTCGGATTGTCACTTAACAAAATGAAAAAAATTCTGTCAAAAATATTGAATATCGTGAAAGGGTAACACAATTTTTCTTAAATTTTTAAAGTGGTAATGAGAAAATGTGATGCCTGAGAAGTGGATAATTCTCTTCCCCATCCAAACATCCTCGGCACCCTCTATTTTATCATTTTCTTTTCATCCTTATTGGGATCACGACGCAAACATTCCGGAGCCACTTAAATCCTTATGTATGATACTGCTAAATTTAAATTACACGACTTAACATCGTAATAGACCTTGTTCACTTCATTCTGTCAAAAGGAAGTAAATAAAACAAATGCATAGGTTTCATTTGAATCTGTAATCTTTATTGGAAACAATAGGCATATATTATGATCTTCATTTCTATTTGACATGAAATGACCATTGAAATGGGTCAAACAGTTACATCTTTAAACATTAAAATATATATAAAAAAACATTAAATATTTTCTCCTATAATTTCAGATTTTGTGACTTGGTGTGAATTCCAATTTTTTCGCAACAGATATGTGATGCAGTGATAAACATAAACATTTCAATTGGAACGAACATAAGAAAATTTTTTGTATATCATCATAAAACTTTAATCAACAACATCATCAGCGAATCATTGAGACCAATGAAGTTACTCACATGATTCACATGAATTGAATTCAACATTTTGATTGTTAAAAATTTCATCAGCCGCGGCAGCAACTTGATAAAATTGCTTGTTTTTTGTTGTTAAATCGGTTGAACAATTCGATGAACTCCTTTTACTTCTTTTATTTTCTTCATTGTGTTCGATTTGAAATAGTTTCATTGATAGTGAATAAGTGCATAAACCTTCAGTCATTCGCTCTTTACGAAAAGAGCAAATGAAAGAAGAAAAAAGTGATTCCGTTGCTCAGAAAATAATTATGTTTAAATCATAGACATCATAAATCATTTGTACCGAATCTTTGCCGTAATTTATTCGCGCCATTAAACAATGATCGTTGAGTGAAATTTTGTTTACTTATTTGCTGGTTGGTGGAGTATATATCATACTCAACAAATATGATCAATTTTTTTAAATCTCGTTCGATGAAACTCTAATGCTTTTTTTTTTAAATCAGAGCTACGATAATATTCTCCATTTTTTTACTCCTTTTTATTTCGTTCATCGAATAAGAAATAGAAAACGAGACGAAATCTACGAATGGAAATCAAAATAGAGACAAGAATAACAGTGTTGTATTGAATATGGAATAGAGAATCACGACGAAAAATGTGAAGAAAAAAAACTGAAAAAAAGGTTCTCATTCAAAGTAAATAGCCGAAATAGAGAAACCACAGGTTAGGGAAATAAAAAAAGGCATAGACGAAATCAATATCGAATCCGTGTGGCTGATTATTTTCGATCAATGTGTATACAAATACATACAAAATACTCTCTTGCTAACCAATGAAAAAAAGGTATATTCCATAACAGGAATTCTTTTCAACAAAAAGGTGAACAAACATACAACAAACAAAACTCAGTTCAATTGGGTCTATTCTAGAATATGTTTTGTAGTCGAAATTAAAAAAAACTAAATACTTGAATTAAATGCCAAGAATAAAGCACTATGAAAGTGAAATACGCTCACATTGAGTAAGCTAGATCAAGATGTGATTCATGTGTGTTTATGAAGTATTAAGTAATAGTTGCATCGTATGGTGTAAAAAATCCGCAACAAATAAAGTGAAGACACACACAGAGAGAGAGAGAAAATCAATTCCAAAGATAGCATAATTTTGATGGATTGCATTTGTTTTATTTTATTGTTTGCTACTGAGACCGCAGTGACTTTGTTTTTGTGATATCGTAGGACAAAAAAGCAGCTAGCCACGCAATTATTTTTTTTTCACTTAAGTAACAAAGTACACGGAAAATGACATGGGATCTTGTACAACGCGACACTACCTGTTGTCAATATGTATGCTGCAGCTGGTGAGTTTATAACATTTATATTTTAATACAGACTTTTACATGTGTGTGCGTGTGTGTGTTTTATATACGCACAATCTAGACTACCATTTGCAATGACCTTTTATTTCGCTTGGTATATATTTTGCTTAACAAAGTTACTACTATATACAGCAAACTGATATTTAATGGACAAAAATGTATTCATTTTATTTCATTGAGGAACTATCTGGTATATTAAACTGGATACAAGTCAACCGAAGACACATGGAAGGAAAATGAAGACACAGACGGACACTTTATGTACGCTGTGCTTGCCTCTTAGTTTCTCCTTCATTCAATATGTTTCACAAACTTTGTGAAATTGCTTCTCTTAAATTTGATTCATTCAATTTTGCATCAATGCAATATTTGGTGTCAATACAAGTTTAATACAAACGTATCCACCTTCGAATATAATTCACTTGCTAGTCTCATAATATTTCATTATAAAAAGTGGTGATGGTCCACTGATCATACAAATTTCAATACCTTTGGTCATTCTCTTGAGTATTTGGCTTGATACAACCGAATACAACAAACAAAACTAGATCGCTACCAACTCCTATGTCGCGTTGCAGCTGCAGAGGTGAAATGTACAGTGTGATGTAAAATTCTGTGTCAATATTTATGTTGCAGATTCCTAAGAGGAGTAAAACTTTTCAACATAAACTACAGACCACCCTGTATAATGAAAAAAAATGCAAATGTTTTTTTCTTACATTGCAATAAAGTATTCTCTTAATTGGTTTGTGATCTTCTTCACAACTCTGTTGTCATTTTATTGAGCGAATAAAGCGAAAGCATAACGAATAAACAAAGAATACAAATTCAAATGAAATGCGACAGCGATGAGTTGAAAAAATTTCTCACGTACTTAGTTTTGCAGTGGCTCTGAGAAATACATACATATACGACCAAAGCAAAGATGAGGTGGCTTTAAAAAAAAGCAATATAAATACAATTGTTTGTAAGTTTTTTTTCTGTCTTTGCTGAGATGTTTTTAAACTACTCGTTTTTTTAGATGTTCTCCGTCAATTTCTGCTTCATAGCTTGTGTGATTTAATTCAAGTTCCTCGTATATAAATTAATTTTTCGCGCTTGAATTACATCTTAGTATGCTTTCATTTTCTTTTGTAGCTTGAGCCCAAAATGAATTCACTTTCATATAATATGTGGAAAAAAAAGTTGCTTCTGTTGCATTTAAAAAATGTTATCTATAGTCAAACATAGATTAGAGAGATTCAAAGAAGCATGGCAAAATAGGTAAAAATATTAAATAAATATCAAATAAGTCGGTATCTTAATTTTGTTCAAATCAATCAAATTCAACGAAGGAATATTTTCAAAATATGGTGGATGCGAATATTTTGGTTATTTGTGTTTAAAAAAATTAAGCCTTGCTCATTCATCAGTTTCTCTGAAATTTTTATTCACATTGTGAAATAAAATTTCATATCACAGATACTGTACAGGAGAGTATACAACCCAATTACACCCATACACGGTAATACTTACTTTACTAAAAGAGGTTATGATAATCTTAAAATGTGCATCTTATACAAGTGGAACACATATGTAATGAAGAATTTCTTACTTCATAGGCATAAGCAACAGAAATAATAATACGTTGAGAAACTATCCATGGCTATGGACGGAGGAACTGTGGAATTCAAATTGTGGAAACATGAAGAAACATGAATAAACGACAACGATGACAACAAATAGATATTTCATTAATGAAGGATTTAATTTACTCTTCGTTCGATAATTGTGACAAAAATCTCGAATACCTCCCAAAAATGATATTTTTTTTTGGACAGAAAAGTTTAATGGTGATGACATTTTAAAATACAATCAAAAGCCAAAATATAAGATAGTACAAAACATCCATAGAAGATCACTGTTGTCAGGTGTGTGTTGTTCGTATATGATGCACCCTAATATACATGTGTACGTGCACCTGTCGTGTTTATTGTATTTTCCATGACCAATTTACATTCACCGCTGACAGTATATAAGCATTATTCAAAAAACACGTTCATTCACACTCTATCCCCTTTTGCATAGTTTTTCTTTCATGTTAGGGATGTCTGGTTTGCGCGCTTGTAATAAATATGTTTTTAATGTAGGTCGCGAGTTATATTTTAACGCGAGTTATATTTTTTTATTTAACTTTGTAACGTTTTATTCCGTTTGTTCAATAAAATACGATCTCTTGAATTCAAGAACGACCAAATTCCATTTCATATTCTTTGATTTTATTCTTCATTTCCAATATGCGAACAAAAACTACATCCTTTTAGATTTGAGCGCTTTATAAATGTTGGCTGCTCTTTCGTTTGCAAAGGAATATCAATTTAAATGCTTTGGAAACAATGACCTTCGTATTTCTGTGATAAAGGAAAACGAACAAAGATGTTAACTACCGAGATTATGAAGAGAAGAAAGAAATAGTGAAAACACTGAATGTTGTTATTATCTTCGACAATGACTGAACGTTGAATCGCATTTTTTTGTTTTTATTTGACAATTTTGCGATGCATTTTGAGATTCCACACTCATAACAACCATTTTACCTCACTAAAAAATTTAACAGAATAGTCGGATGGTTTTTTAATTGCAAACTTGATGAGAACTGCATGAGCACTTCACAGAAACGTAAAGATAAACATGAAAAATATTAATCAGATTTGAAAAAAATGTGTGTATCTCTTATACCATATTATCTAATCAAACATCTAGAACAAATTGCTTAGTTCAAGTTAGATTTTCTTTTGGTAATATAACACAATTGTTTACCCAAAAAAATGCATTTCTATTGTTTTATCTTCTTGAGAATAAACTACGAACGTATAATTTATACAATAACATGTATATATTTTACAAAGCAGCACCACTTTGAAATATTAAATCACTCGACTGGAATTCCGTATTCATTATGTTGCTTGTGTTGAGACATATAGTTGACCGATTGTGATGACTTTGTTATATATCAAAATTCAGTGCTGTTCAGAAACCCCAAAAAATACGTTTTTTTTTTATTTCGTTGAAACCAAATAACAAATTTGTGTCGTAAGTAATTTCTTTCTTAACTTGTCCGTTGGAAAAACATCGCTTTTTTATTGAAACGAAAATAAAAATATGTTCAAAATTTATGTGTTCAATTCGGATGGGAACAAAGTGTGTTTAGGTTTACACGCCAGGTGGCAAAGTACAATTTACTTATCCTGCATAGATTGAAACATCAAATGCAAGAAAGCTGATATACACTTTCCGATGTAATTCTATAATCGAATCATTAATTTCAGATGTCAGCGAAATAAATCTAAATTCGCAAGCATGAAATATATGCATACATTCACCAAATGATTCTTGCACCAAATCCTATAAAAAAAAATTCCATCCCAAATCTTATACGTCGAAATTGTCTCAAAAGTGAAAAATAGTTTTATTTAAGTGTTAAATTTCGAGACAAACGAGCATTTACGACAAAACAAAAATGTGTGGATATTGAATCGGAAATAAATAGGCGAAAATATTCTCATGTTTAGTTGTGCATGATTTATTGACTTTGATGCAAGTTTTTGTTGATATTCACATATTTATGCTGCCTGTTTCTATTTAGAAATTCCCGAAGCGACAGACGAACGCATATAAATATATAACATATATATTTGTAGTATTGCAAGTCAGGAAATTGTGACACAAACTTACTTTATTGCTTTAAGGAGCGAAGTTTGTATTATTTTAAAATCACTATAAAAATGTCAACGTTCTCCTTGGATAACATAGAGAAGAGAGAAAAAAAACTGTATGTTGAAATCGCATTCGCGTTTTGGAATCAATTTATGTCGTTTGGCATTTGTTTCATTTCAGACGATGGTTGAAAATTAATCGTTCCTCAGTGACTTGTATGTATTGTAATGTTACATACAATATGTATGTGACTCTTTCACCACTTTCTGTTTGCATTGAAAAATCATTGTCTGATAAACTCTAGACACGATATGAATGCCGTACGGGAAATCAAACAGAAAAGTGAAATTCATGAGATAATTAAAAAACGTGCAAAACGGAATTCATGTGTTTCCTCGCTCTCAAAGACAATAGCAGTTGAAAGAACGTTATTGTTAGTGGCATATAAAATGCAGCTGGTCTAGCTTCTCTATGGCCAAATACCATAAGCTTAAATTTCAATACGTCTATTGCTATAATTTCGTTGAGAAGTGCGGGCGAGGTGAAAGCTTTGAATTTAAATTTTGGGGTCGAATGCATGCGGCAGTTAATTTCACTGACGGTTTCATTTAAATACTAAATATAGCTGATCACGGAAACGATTTGATTTCAATTAAATTGAATTCATACTGTTCATTTGTATTGTCGATAGAATATTATTCAAGTCACATAATAAAACTATCGGGTTCTGCTATTTACAAAAAACACACACACACACACACATACAACTAGATGTCTAACATTTTTAAAATGTGGAAAATTTTCATCTATCAAAAAAAACAAGTGCGGTGCATTGACTGCAGTTCAATAACGTTTGTGCATACAAAAGTCCATGCAAACGCAAATCACGTATGGTTCATGTTCACTGCACAAGCAAGCATCAGCGTGCAAAAATAATATGCACTCAATTAATAATAGTTGTTTGTTATAAGTAATAAAATGAGTAATTTATTTGTTTTCCTTCTTCTTTCAAATAGCTTTCGATCATCGAACGGAACATATTCGACTTCATCGGCTACATGTGGGCGCCGATATTGGCTAACTTTTTCCAAATAATTTTTGTAATATTCGGATTTTTCGGCGGTTATCAATTTAGCGCAAAATATCTTATAACAGTAAGTATTTAATATATTTAGTATATGATATCGTTCATATGCACGGTGAAGCGGTAAATTTGTTTTTATTTCATTATGGTTTATGATAAACAAAACAAAAAAATCTGTCAATCGTTAAATCGATTGAAAGGTCAATGGAATCGCGGTATTTGTTAATAGTTTTTTGTTTGTCATTGCAGTCGAAACGAATCGATTGGTTAGAGTATAAAATGATATCCGACCAATGATACCATAATTCCAATGATTTTCCGAATTCACTGGCAAAAAAATTGTTACATTGCTATCTTAATAAAAGTATTATAGATAAAATCTATGGTAAATGGCATATGTATCGGTTGCAATATGAAATATCCCGTCATGACTCCTTTTTTTTTGTTACCTTATATAAATTGTGTATTTTATCAATTATACACTTCAAATATTATCTAAAATCAATATAATTCTGCACAAGTAATAGTTTTCATTTCATGATTGTTCACGGGGTATTTGTGAAAATGGAAAATTGACATAATTTGCATAGACAAAGGTTGCAGATCACAATAAATTCTAATCAATTCAATAATACATGCATTATTCTCATTGGGGTGCATGTCATAAAATTGAATCGACCATAATAAAATGCACTTGATACGAGGGTAATAATAATAACTTGGAAACACTTACGACATTTTTTTCTTATTAGAAAACACAATTTTTAAACGTGAATAAGTGATTGAGCTAGTATTGATAAGTGAGTGTATGTATGTGTGTGTTGAATAAGAAAAATGGAATTCATAAGTGAAGCAAAAAAATGAGTATTTTTTTCGGCGTCTTATCTTATCATCGACTTTCTCTACTTGCTTTTCACTTTGCCCTCTACTATCCGATATTGCTGAGCGGTTATCGTTATTTTGACCAGAAAATATACCTAGCAATATACTGAGTTGACTGAGCAGCCAAGCTAACACAAATTAGCCAGCATAGAATTGGTGCGTTTCAATTGCGTGACGACAACATTTTGTGTTGCTGCCAATGTAAGCTTCTATTGTGGTATTTTAAAGGTCTATAGTTTGTTATTGTCACAAAATTGAAATGTACCAATCAGCTTGGCTCGGTCAGCTCTATGTATGTCTTATTTTGTTTAATGCCCAACACATTTATTTATGGCGTTTTGGTCTTATACTTGTGTTTGTGTTTGATTATTTACCACCTATAATGAAAATTGAAATAAAGCCATGTGAAATTTGAGAACAATCAATATTATTAGCGGTACACCATATCTAAACCAAGCTTTATTGTCAAGTAAATGTTTTCTCATTTTTTTTATTTCCATAGTACACAATATGGACGCTGATTTGGATAGCATGGAATATATTTCTCATATGTTTCTATTTAAATGTTGGCGGTCTCAATCGAGTAAGTATTCTGTAATGAATAATGTAATAACAATGCACCAATTTTAAACGAATAAGATGTGTGATAAGAATTCAATCAACTGAATGACGTTTATGAAACTAAAATGTTATAACAATTTATCATTTTTCAGGATAGTGATATACTAAATTTGGGTACTGGTTCAGTATCGTGGTTCGAAGCAAATGGTTGGTACTCTGTTTTTTTAATGCCAGTAACTTTATTTATTGATAACATTTTTATTTTACTATTCTATTAGGGCCTGGCTGTATACCAACTTATCCAACAAACATCACTTCTGAGGATCCTTATCGCTTAGTTCGACCAGAATCTGTAGAAGGCTGTCTACTTGAATACCAAACCATCGAAGTTATACATTCTAGTTTTCAGCTATTTTTGGCGGTAATTCAGTTATATTTAAATGAAATTTATTTAAATTTGAAAATAATACTAGTCTAGATACCATTGATGGAATTGTTCTCGATATTTTCATGCATGAAATGAATAAAATGGAAATTTGATTTTTTTTCGCAGATTTTTGGACTCATTGGATCTCTATGTTTAGCCCAAGTATTTTTTGATGATGACGATCGATGTGAGTAGAATTTATGTTCATTAGTACATATTCGGGGGGGTTTCATCATCCCATATGCTTTAATCAATTCATTTTCATATCGATGATTTGTGTTTGGAGGCATAAAGTATAGCTGTGCACAAACAGAATCGTAGTCGAATTTATGCTTTCGAACATAAAGTTAAAAATCGATTCTACTTAACCTTTTTTGGGTATGTCATTCCATTAAAACTAATGTTCAGTCGATTTTGAAAAAAACTAAACACATCAAAATTAGTAGCATACACATTTTACACTAACATAGAAACATTCCAGGCGTTCTTCATTTTACTTCGAAAAACAACAGTTTTCAACGGATTACGCATATTTGATATTCGATCTTGTTTTGTTATATTGATCAAAATCGTAAGATACTTAACGACCGTCAATGTCAAATAAAATGAATATCAGATTTTGCATGAATCCTGAATAATTGCATCTGTCGAAGGGCAATCGCACTTTGAACACTGCAGTTGTGCTGCTCTCTGACATTTATAAGTTCAACCCTATGTAAAGACATTGCTTTCCTCTTCTTCTTCATTTACAAGAAGCATATGCGTTATAGCAGCTTAACTTTGAGATACCAGGTAGCAGCATATCTGCGTGTTCGAAACCCAATACATTCCCAAGTCAGTATAATACTCTTTTCGAAGAGTGTACACGCTCTTCTCACACTCTTCGTATAGTTTTATTCGACTCCCTTCTCACACTCTTCTCACACTTTTGCATAAAACACGTATATTGTTTTTAACTGAGCTTCAATTTTTTTCTCTAAAAAATTTTCTTTTTTTTCTTTATAATAAATTTTTCCACTGATGGATAGTTTTTGATTTTGTTAATTTTTGACATTTTGAAAAAAATGAACGTATACAAAAAAAATGAATTAGCTGATGCAACAGCAATTGTCGTTCTGTTGTATTTTGACACAGCTGACGAATGCTATAAACGTTCAAATATCAAAATACAAACATTACTTCCACTGGAATGCAGTGACAGCGGTTCTCACTCAATATACGTGTTTTATGCAAAAGTGTGAGAAGAGTGTGAGAAGAATGTGAGAAGGGAGTCGAATAAAACTATACGAAGAGTGTGAGAAGAGTGTGTACACTCTTCGAAAAGAGTATTATACTGACTTGGGTTGCTTTGAATGGAGTGCGAGCAGAGCGTGTCATCTGTAGTCAAAAGTCTGTGTAGTCTGTTAATAGATTTTATTCAAAAGAATGAACAATTCATTTTACTTTGTGATACATGAAGCTGCTTCCGTTTTGAATGATCATTTGAATGATCATCTGTTGTTTATATATTCGATTTCATACATGTTAGATTACGATAGCGCATGCTATGATAAATGCTAACGTACACACAGTATTCGAGTACGCTTACTCGCACTTGCGGTGTTAGTAGAGGCTTTGCCCCTCAAAATGAGTTACGCACTCTATTTAACTCTATTTTTGGTGTTAGTTTCATCGAAGTAAACGCATCACAGTGAAAAAAGAGATACATTTCGTTGCATGCATATGAGTCTGTGCATACGCTTACGAATATGATTGCTAAGTGTATCGTCACATATGTTCGATGAAACTAACACCATAAATAGAGTAAAATAGAGTGCGTAACTCATTTTGAGGGGTAAAGTCTCTACTACCGCAAGTGCAAGTAAGCGTACTCGAATGAAATACTGTGAAAATTTGTCGGTGACAGTTCACACTTATTGCACCAAGTGCAACCAAGTTAAACTATAAAAATTTCGACTATAGGCTTCTGCACGCAATCAACCAACAAATTCATTACAGACTGCTGAATCAATGGAAAATAACATTTCAAATGAAATCAATTTTGTTTATTTTGGATCCAACATAACCTTTTATTTCGAAACTACAAAAAAAATCTAAAAGATTGTTGTTGTAATAGTTTTAAATTGAAATTGCATCTCTTCAAAAACCACAAACACATACACAAACACTAGTTCATCTTCATCATAATCGTTCCCATTTTTTCCCCATTTGGCCACTTGTTTTTTTCGTTCCATTTGATAGTTTTTTTTTCTCTCTCTCTCTCTTTCTCTTTATCTATTCATTTTGGGATTCGTCTAAATTTTTCGTTGCAGTCGATTTTATGGGTGGCGATGCCAAATGTGTGCAGCATAAAATCGTCATGCCGATGTACGTGAGCATTCCGACAATGAAATCAACCAAATTACTAACGAATCCATATTTAGATGTAACTACCACCAATTCCACAAGCGCCGCTACATATAACCTAGAGAAAAAATCAATTAACGACCATAACCAAAAATCGACCAATAACCGAAATACAATCAACAATATTAACAAAAACAATAGAAGATGCAATGCAAATAGCGAAATTAATACGAATACAAACATGAATGCAACAATAAATGTAAACAGTGACAACATCAAAACTTCTGACCATTATGCGACGAATTTTTTTTCAATGTCATATAATCCATACAAAAATGGTACAAGCAATGAACATGCGTGCAATGGTATCGCTAAGAAAATCATGACAAATCCAGTGCGATCGCACAATACAGATAACATTAAACGGCAGTACAATCACAATGATATTGTTTATCGTAATTCAAGTAAATTGAGTTCAATTCGACCTGGGTGCAGACCCCGTTCAATTCGATATTCAGACTCCGATGACACACGATCTTCATCAATCGATTATAATTTCAATTATGTTAAATTTCGATCACCGTTAAGTGCAAATTGCATGGCGTCAAATTATCGAGATTCAAGTACAACATCGACTCTTGCTACCGAATGTAGCTTATTTGTTCATCCATCATCTAAACACGTTGATGAAGATGAAAAAAAGCAATCAATAGTTTTGTCAAAGGTGCATAATCACCCAAATTGTCAGTGTGGCATTCAAAATTGTTGCCCATTTGCTAATGAAAGATTCGATAATCATTTGATACATCATCGATCACATGGCGGTACATGTAGTATACAAGATAGGCAATATTTTGTACAACGGTATCCATATCGTCGTCGTGATTTAAATACGAGCAATGCCCTCAACTATGATCATAAAATTCATGAATCACCGCCCGAATATGATCAAGTCGATGATTTTCTCATGAAGCGAACATTTTCGCACGATCGCTTATTCTGTCAGCGAAGATTATTGACCGCTCGTAATCGCACGAGGCCAAAATCATATTGCAGTAATGTCAGTTATTGCCCAACACAACTATAAATTCGTTATTTTTTGTTACTTTAACATCTTATGTGTCAAATGTCCCACATAATTTCTCAATTTTTATTCAATTCTTACATTCTTCCATTTTCGTACAGATGTGTCAATTTATCGGTTGTTGATTTTGATGTAGCTTTTGAATATAATACTAAAAATGACGCAATATCACAAAACGTTTGTTATGTACTCTTTGTTGAACATGAGTGATATGATTTTTCAGAAGGTTTTGTATGGTTGAGTTTTGCCTATCGGAGACGAAAAAATTACGAGAGAATTCAAAAGAAATATAATCGAATTTAAAGCATATAATGCCCCCGATTATAAGGTTATTTCTGATAAAGAAAGAAAAATAGTTCAATGGAAACTATGGAGTATCTTTCAACGCAATATAAGTCGTAATAGTCGATCTCCACCAAAAAAATTATGCGTCGACGCCTTACGCCAAGGATTGGTGTGTTTTTTTGTATTTTTTATTTTTGGAATGAGATTTTGGGTGTATACAGTACCATAGAAAATGCTTCGATTGATGTGTTTGTTGCAAACATATGTTATTTGTTACTTTTGCCTACATACCAATAATATTACAATTAACAAATCTGTAGAATAAAGATTTTTTTTCACTGTGACTTAATATCATAAGCCTTTTTTTCACTGAAATGTTCAAACGATTACAGAATCAGGCAAATTGGTAATCATGATAACAAATATGATTAATTATTCAAGACTTACTAGTTATGGTGCTTCTTTTCTTTAATTATTATTCATAATAAATAAAGTCTTGAATATATATCATAGTCCAAATATTATCCGGAGTCTGGACGATTTATGAGGACCGAAATTTGTTTGCATGTTTTCAAACGGTAACTAACTAAAAATTCTGTGTAGGATCAGATGGAAACGGAGCCACGATTTTGAATTAAGAAAATAGATATACGTGTGTTCATTTTTCATGTTTTTCAAAGTGGTTGTGGTATTTAAATTAAAACTAACTCGTAATTTTGCTTTGAATAATGGATTTTTTCGTAACTGATTAAAAATTCGTAAATCTATTAAACTCAACTGTTTTGGTACGTATTGGTAATAATAATAGTATACAATATAACAACAATATTTAAGTTTTATCACTGTTTTTGAGCTTTTTTGTTTTTTGTTTTTTTTTAATATATTTTTAACACATTTGCTTGCTTTGTGTATGCAATTATTTTCAAAAATATTTTTTTTCCTCATCATTAGCAAAGAGAAGTAGCACAAAATCAAAGAAAAAGCGACAGTCGTTATACTCGATTGAGTTTAGTCCGCCAGTTGATACAATTCTCGATTATGAGTTGAGTCATGAGCCCAGTCGAAATGCACCATCGGAGCTCAGTCCAAAACCCATGACGCCGCGTAAGTTTTGTTTGCAATCAATACACATGTATGATTTAAAAAAAAAAAAAACAATTAATTGATTTATGATTTTTATTGAAGGTCGTGTCAAACGTCGTTCGGTAATGGTTCGACAAAGCACAAATAGTCGTCGCAGTCATAGCTCTAACCGAAATAGTATACGTTCGTCTCGACGGAAATTCCAACAAAATCCAGTAACAAAACTAATGGACTATCAGCATGGCCAGTCCGACCAAAGTAATTGCCTTCCTCTTAAATCTCTTAAATACATCTAATGAAACACATTGTTTTTATATAATTTTCCGTTTTATATTATCTAGGCTCATATCGGCCACCCAAATCAAATCCAACGTTCCAGCACATGGAGAACTCTCAATTAACCAAATCGAATTTAAAGCACTTAAATACCGACACATTAACGGCTAACGTTAATAACAAATCATTTCGAAAATCGCAAACTTTTACGCCAAATATCATTCCTGATCCAATTTATTACAATATGAGTCAGTCGACCACATTTTTTGAACCATCATGGAATTCATCATCATCAACAAATTTCACTTCACATGGCCATGTTGAAACACAAGGTCATTATAATCCAACATATCAGCATTCAACACCAAATTTAGCCACAAACAATCCCGAAATGGTTGACGAAGTCTATAATAATCGTCCGCCATCGGTGCGATCAAGCTACTCAAATTTTCATGGTGCTCGACCGCACAGCACTCATGTTGTCACTGAAAACGAAAACGTGTTCGTTGGCCTGAATTCGATGACATCAACAAATGATATGCAAGCAAATCGATCACAACCAATGCCAATACCGCAGTTACCATCAAGACAGTCTGCATCAAGGGAAAGCATACGATCAATGGCATTTCTAAATAACGGTCCGCCTGCATACAATTTAAATTATCATACTCCGCCCGATTCGAATTCCGAAACCACAATGTGAAATTAAGTTGCGTTAGCTTTCAGTTATCCAAAATTCAGTAATATTAGTAATTTTTTAGTATCTAGATCGTATATTTCGAAAACTTACTTTTACGCCAATCAATTAATTGAAATTCTTAATGTGAAGAGAATGAATAATAAAATGGAACGAAAAGAAATACGAAAAACTTGTTTATTGGAGTAATTGCGATGGGCAGCACACTTTAATTTGCCAAATTATAATGTTTTACACCATTACACCAGTTTTCTCGCTCAACATGTTTGTGAAATTTAAACAACATGTCTTGTAATTTTTTTTTAGAATCGATTTTGTTTTATTTTAGATTTACTTTTCTCTATAAAAAAAACACGAATTATTAAAAATTATGGCTTCTTATGAATTAATGTAAACAACTGATTTTTGAAAGAAATTTTTTTTATACTGTTTAAGAGTGATTTAAAAAAATGAAAAAAAAAAAAACAATTTTTTTCTATTGATTCCAGTTCCGATAAAAAAATATTACTTATTTGTAGAAAGGAAGAAAAACAATACACGGAATACAAAATTAAGTAAGTACTCATACAGACACAAAAAAAATAAATTTATGGCCTTTTCATCATAATCTTATAGCAAACATTAGCTATAGTTGAATTAAATTAAAAAATATGGATTATTATTTGACTAATTCCAAGTAAAAATTGATTCGTTGAGAATAAAAGTGGGAATAGCCGAAACCGCGCTTTCGAACACATGCCTTTTGTGAATGTATGACAAGAGATGGGAGGGAAGTGTCTTCAGCAATATTTTGGATCTTCAAATCCTCAAACATTTCCAAATACAATTCCCTACTATCTCTTGCCATACATTCACTAAAGGCATGTGTTCGAAAGCGCGGTTCCGGCTATTCCCACTTTTATTCTCAACGAATCAATTGATAAACCCTTTTCAATAGTTTACGCAAACAAATAACGAAATTTGTTTGGGAAGTGAATACGATGGCCATCTAGGAATTTGTGCATCAACCATTCTACACTAAAGCTGTTAAGTACAATGTTTTACACTTGAATTTATAGGCCATTGTAAAATTTCAAAATCTTCTGCATTCGGACAAAATAAAATACTAACAAATTTTACTTGCTACTAGTTTTGTTCGGATGTCTCTTTTTTGATGTTGGAAACATTTGTTTTAGATATGCATAGCAAATTTTCTATTAAGTTTTATACTTGGTTGATCGGAGCATATCGATGGACTTTGGGTGTCTGTGGTGCATGAATTTCTTCGGATAGTTTTTGATAGATGATCGAATTCTTTGATGCGAGCAACGCTTGGCGGTATCTCTCTCCGCGGCGATGCATCAATAATGCAACAATACGTGTAATCAAAATAAGAGTGGCGAGAATTGACAACAAAATGAGCATGAATGGAACTGATTCGTAGGCCAATGCCAACCAAGTGGATCCACGATCAAATTCTTCACCGTCAACTGTAAAATAGATAGATAATATTTAGCTTATTTTCATAAGTTTTATAAAGTGTTTAAACCTACGGTCAATTTCTTCAGCAATGATTTTTTCTCTATCGCTTAACTCATTTCCGCTGTTAATTTCAATTTCATTTTCATCATCGTAATCATCATCATCTTCATCTTCGCTCTCAGCATTTTCCGCAATACTTTCCTTATTACTTTGAGCTGATTTAAGAAAAAAAAAAGATTTAATTCAATTATTAATTTAAAAAAATAAACGATGTTCATGGCAGAGGTTCTGAATTGAATCCATTACAAAATGTAATCTTACTTGAGTCATTGCTATCTTCATCATCTTCGTCATCATCTTCATCGTCTTGACTGTTATCTTGTGTTTCGTCTGCGTACTCCTCAACTCGTTTGATCGTTTTCTCAGTGTTGGTAGTTGATTGATGAGATTGTGCACAAACATATCCCGCAAACGTGTCCCAACCCAATGAGTATGAAGCAACCGAATCGACAACGTGGCCATCTTCGGTTAATTCAGCATTGAATCCAGCATGAATATTTCCAGCTTTAATCTGTGCATAGATGTGACACAATTCAATTATGAAGTCATATTATGAAGTTATAATTTTAGTTTTTGAGTTTTACCTTTCGATCTTTTAACCATTGCATAAGGTTCTTGAATCCATCATCACAATGCAAATGATTGTTGCTTAAATCGAGAACTTCCAATTTTTCCATTGACGAAAAGTGTGAGTGACGCGCATGAACAATATTATTGTTAGACACATTCAATAATTTCAAGTTCTTTAAAACTGTTGACATTGGTAAATTGGCAGACATCGGTTCGGACCAAATTTCAACCAGATCACAGCTACTCAAATCAAGTTCGGTCAATTCTTTAAGTGGCAAGAACATGCGTGGTGAAATTTTTTGTAATTGATTTCCAGCCAAATTCAACTATAAACAAATAAAAACATAGTCATACTCAATCATTTACGGTATTTTAGAATTCTTCGTTACCTTTTTCAAGTTACGATTGTACAAAAATGTTAAATTGTCCAATTCGCTGATAACGTTATTGCTCAAATTCAATTCAATTAATTTGGTCATGCTCTTGAAGAATTCCCTTGTCAATGTTTCGATATTGTTCCAGGCCAAATTAAGTGTTGTCATACGGGGCATATTTTTGAAAGTATCGTCTCCCAATTCAGAGATATCACAGTTTTGCAAATCGAACAGGTAAACATTAAATTTACCGGATTCACATGCGAAACCTTCCAACGGTAATGTTTTCAATCGATAGTTGTCATTCAATCGAATGACATCCAATTCTTTGTTGACTAAAAACAATGTGGACGAAACTTGCTCCAATTCGTTGAACGATAAATCAATCTGTCTCAAATTTTTGAGCGGGAAGAAAGCAGTTTGATGAATTTTTTTGATACCGTTGCCTTTAAGAATCAATGTTGTCAATCCGGTCAACTTGTTGAACATTGTATTGCCAATGTTCGAAATATTGTTGTAACTCAAATCGAGCTTTTGTATTTCGGAAGTGGCAAAATCTAACTTCGATTCGATTTGATTGTATTTCAAATTGAGAATGGCTAGTGATGTATTGGTAAAAATGTTTTTCGGTAATGTTGAAATTTTATTGTATGAGAGGTCCAATTCTTCAATGTTTGTTACTTTATCCAAAAGATTTGGCGGAAGCGATTGCAAATCGTTATTGGCTAAATTAATAAATATTATGTTTTCCAATCGGTTAAATGCTGTTGGCAACAATTTTTTGAGATTACATCTTGACAACGATAGCTCTTCGACATATGGTGCTTTCAACATATAGCTGTTGAATGGTACGATATTCTGTTGCATTTGACTTAAATCGTTCGCGTCCAAAGACAATAGACGTAATTTTGCATTTTCAGCAAAAGTATCTGGATGCAGAATTGTAATGCCGGAATTTGTAAGGTTCACCGAAAACAATTCGGTGAGACCCTCAAACGCTTTCGGATGGATATTTTCAATGAATGAATTAACAATTTTAATCGATGAAACGTGCTCCAAGCCAACCAATTTGAAGAAACTTGCGCCCAATACAATTGGATATTTTGGTGATACATTGACCACTTCTAGATCGGTGATACCAGTCGAAAAGTTTTGAATTTCAGCATCGAGTCTGAAATATTCAAATATTTAAAAATAAAAGTGACCACACCAAAAATAAATCATTTCACTTATATTCTTTCTTACCTATTGCAAGTTGCTACCATAAACCCATTCATATTACGATTGCATATGCAGTCTCTTGGACAAACAATGGGCTCACTAGTTGTGATTGGGTCATCCAAATCTTCATCATCTTCATCCGTATCGTCATCATCATCATCTTCATCTGTTCAAAATGAAGAAATAATAATAGTGAATTTTAACTCATTTTCAATGCTACACTCTTATATCGGTGGTATTAATATTTAGTATTTTGGGATTTTCAGCTACAATTAATCCAAAAGGACTAAAAAGTAATCCAATGGGATCATTTTATATTTTTTAACTTGAGTTCAATAAACACTTTTTTGTTGTTTGTAAAAAAATATCTCAAAATGAATCTTCCTTTGGAACACTGTTTCATATTGTATTGACATTTACATGAAACTTCAAATGCTTGCCATTGTCATTCGATTGCAAAGATAACCTTTCACGGTCTTATGTTTATTGTGTAAATCAAGTGCACCATTGTCGAAAAAACTAAATTTTGTTTCTGTTGGAATTTCGATTAGTTTGTTTATTAGAATATAATTCTCAATAGAATCCTTTTTTCCATCGCTTCTGTGCAATTTATTAAATTTTATTATTCTGATAAAATGTTTTATAGCTAGTGAAAACAAAGTAAAGAATTGATTAGCGAATGGCTTTCAATAGAATTTTGGGTCGGTTCGCATCAATATCAACATTCCATGTCACAATCGCTTTTGTGTGCTCAGTGATTTTTTTTCAAAAGGGTAACATGGCAAACATTTTGCAAAATTTTCAAAATCCATCAGAATCTTGAACAACCGAAACACTATCGTAAAATGCGTGTTGACGAAAGATTAATTCTTGCTTTGTTGACGAATGATTTTCAATAAGATTCTTTTGCATCGAATATCAACATAAATTCCGTATCACACCTTTGGGAGTGTAATTTAGCGAACATTTTGTCAGCATTTGAAATCGGACTGCAGAATTATGAAATTGTATTTATGCAAGAGTGAAATGAACGCATTGATATTTGTTTATTGTGAACCCGTTCGATCACATGAATCGGTGATTGTATATTTTGATAAATTTTTAGAGGCCTGTTTTTAAAATACCAGGAACCTATAAATTCATCAACAATAATACATTGCTAAGTCAACCGATTTTTGAGTATAATTAATAAATTTATTTGATGGCATGCATAGTCTATCATAGTCATTGTAGTTTTTGATAAATATAACAGTGGCCTGAATATTTTTAAACCGGCACTTTTATATTTATCAAAATATATTTTGATTATTCATCAATATTTCGAGGTATAAATATCGGTGGAGATTCCAATACGTTAACAGTTGCTAAAAATGAGCGGTCGCAAACGGAATCACGAATCGGCGTTTAAGCCACGAAAGAAGATAAAAATTAAAGAACACCAAACAATTAAAAAAAGTGCTCGAAAAGGTTTAAAAGTGAATCTGCCCATTAACACTGGAAAATTTGCTCAGTTGATTGACGTATACGTATTAGAAATGACACGGTGCTACATATTGGGTGCACTGAATTTGCATTATTTCACCAGTGATCATTTCAAGCGCAGTACAGACGAGCAAATCGAAGCATTCTATACTCAATTCGTCGACAAAAATTTTTTTCGAGATTGGTTTTACGGCGTTCAGTTCATTGAGCGTGCATTTAACGACGCCAGAGAAAGCGGGTACAGGTTGTGTTACGGCATTTGGTACTATTGCCAAAAATACGGTGTTCGAGCTCCAGTAATTGAAGGATTCGGGAATGTAGTTGAATACGCAGTACAAATGTTTTATACAAATTACAAAAATAATATTTGTATGCACGCTCACTCACGCATCCGAAAGTTTTTCACACATCAAAACGCGAGCAAAGCACAAATTGATGACACCATGGATTTCTTATTCAAGCGAAACTCCAACTGTGTGCCAGACCTAAATTTGATGTGGGAACTGGAAAATACATTAAAGCCAATCCGATTCGACGATGGGAAAGGGTACTTTTTTGCTATGGAAAGCAATTGGTTCAAATACATACCATTCATTTATTATTGTGAATCAAACGATTGTATTTTTTATGCGATTTTTTTAGAGACAGATAGAATGTCCACATCGATTATTTCGCAATAAAAACGGCGGCCCAAAACAGGAGAAAGACATCAAAAGTAAAGAATGGGATGTATTATGGCGTCTGTATTTCGACATCGATAGCATCGAAAGAGAACCGAGAAACAAAAATGATGGCCATGCAACAATAAAATTCGACAACTCCATTCAAACAGATGTTGTCGGTATGTCATTTTTGATGGAACGAACAAAATTCATCATTGAAAAAGACGATGAAGAGCGTATGAAAGAGACACAAGAGATGCTTCTGAAAAGCCAACAAGTGTATGGTCTCGATCCTGGACTACGTTTGGTCATTGGTGGTGTGCGCATTAACAATTTCAACGATCGAAATAATCGCACTGAAACAATCATTCGATTGACATCGGGCCAATACCAAGATATGATAAATGCATCGCGACGGAACAAATGGCGCAAAAAGTTGACAATTGAAATCGATGAAAAGATGCGTCTACATCGTAAGTCATTTGATGAGCAGCCTGGTCCACGAGCCGAAGACCATAAATCATATGCTGATCATATTTTGCGTCATTTTGAAGAAAAGTTCACAGCATACACACAGTATGAATACGCTTTGCAAGCATTTCTCCAGTACATTGACACGAATAGAGCACTTGATGCATATGCAACCAATCATCATCATTTCGGACGACCAAATTATGTTCGTTGTGCTTCCTTGAACTTGAAAAACCGACAAAAAGAGGCAAAGTAAAGGAGAAATATCGCTATCTCACATGCCATGGATGCGAACCATTGTGTGGAGAAAATGTGCTTGGAAAAGCCCAAGGTCCGATTGAATCACGAAAAAGCAATCGCAAATTGACGCAGCAACGAAAACATCGTCCCCGTACTGATGGTCCACGTATGACATCAAAATTTCGTAAATATGAAGAGAAAACTCGAATTGGGCGTACTATCACCTGGAATCGTGATGCAAATGCAGGTCGTAACATTCTCTACAAAGGTTTGTGTTTGTTAAATTGATATGCTCTCAGTTTAATATGAACAAGTCAATGAACAATAGACAATGAATTCGTTTTTTTTTATTCCTTACAAACAAACAGGATGGTGTGCTGTTATGAATATAGAGCTACATCCAGCATTTCAACGGCATGTTGAAGAAGAAGAAGAAAATGCAGGAGGAGAAGATCCACCGCCAGCACCACCAGCACGAGCTCGACAATCAAGACGAGCAGCATCCAATCAAGTATGTAATCATTTCAATAATTCTGCTTTGAATTTATCTAATCAATTGAAGCTACACATACTTTTAATTTACGTTCATATTTAGAAATTGATATAATCATTGTCATTTTCAGAATCAACAAACAACACAACGAACATTGCGTTCTCATCTGGATCAAGCGCGGAGCTCTCGGCCGTAAGCCCTGGGTTTTGTGCGGGATTTCAACGTGGTCCCACAATTCGCTACAATTAGTAAGTATTTAAATTTAATCCTACAGTGCTAAAATTTAATCCTTTTGGATTATTTTGATGAAAAATCCCAAATGATTAATATTTAATCCCTTCTATTTTACAGTGTATGCGCAGAACCATACCGTCATCTGCATTGTCACTATCGCCGTCCTGAATATCACTATCGGCATCACTAATATAATTTAGTTTTGAATTCGAGTTCGCACTGGTGACGGGCTTGGCTTTTTCAGTGACGGGCTTGGCTGTCGTACTGGTCACTACTTTAATGACTCTGGATGCTATTCAATATAAATTTTACATTACTTATAAATATATTTTTCTCAAATACATATAGATTTACCATGTTATTGAACTTAAAAGGTAATAAATGAATGAATTGCTTTGATTTTGTGTTTACTTTACATTGTTAAGTTTACAAAATGTCATAATGATTTGTTTTGGTTAATATTTGATTTGTTAGAAAAAAACTTCAAAGCAATCCAATTGTCGGTTAAATAACTAAAAGAAAAACTCACACTTTGTGGTCGATGCCGGCTTTGGTGGTACAGAAACAATATCATCATTCACGCTATCGCTATCATCGTAGTTGTACTCGTATTCGTCATCATATTCATCATCACTTGCGGGCTTTGTATTCTTGTCGACTGTATTTTCTTTAATATCAACTACCTTTTTCACCTTCGAATCTGATGAATCAGTTGAGCTCTTGAGCATTTCAATCGGTTCCTTTTCAAATTCATCAAAATGTTTCGTCGGCAACATTTTATTGTACCTGCAAACCCATTTATTTATTTTTTTCAAGTGTTAAATAATTGCCATCAATACAGCATGCACGTAACTTACCTTAGATCATTAGCTAATGGGATCTTTGGATCCGGCGCCCATTTTTTGTTTGAAACAACCTTTTTGCTCTCTTCTGTTGTCGATAAAATTTTGTTGTATATTGGATCATCTGTCAAACCCGCTCTAACACTGCAGATAAAGGTAGCGCACAGCGCTACCGTTGCCATTAGTAGCCATGAATGGCTTGACATTATGATCTGTTCAAAATAGAAAAGTTAAAATTACAATTTGACAATGTAATGACAATTGATAATGGAATGATGCCTGTTCTATTGTTTGAAATTGTTTATTTTTTGCATCAATTGCAAAGTCTCTTAAAGTGAAATAATAATGGGACTTGTATTTTGCACGAAAAAAAAGTCATGTGATTTCCAAATTAGCATTATTAGCTTCCATTGATTTAAATCATTTGACTCGTTTTTAATGTGAAGTTAACTAAAAATCATAGAAAAATCTGAAAAATGCAAAATTCCACCGAATTACAAGCGCTGAAAACAGGTCAAATTTCATCATTCTCAACATTTCGCCGAATTGATAATATACAAATAAGAATACCGTGTAAACGAAACTAAATGTCCAATTCAAATAAAAATCAAAAAATTCCGCTAGTCTAATGTAATTCAGATTTATTATCTAAAAAAAAAACAGCATTCAAAATGAATTTTTTCTATTATTCAAAAATGTAGGGCTGAGTTGTCCCAAAGATTTTGGGTACGCTACGGCCCGACCGAAGTACTGTCTTTTTATAACACTATATGAGTTCGTATCGATATTCGTGTGCATGTATCTCAGTTTTGCCTTGAAATTTTCGAAAGTGCTATTGTGGCATGTAACAAGGTGTTATATTTTGATTTGTTGTGTGGCTGTACTACATCGCAGCCAACACACGAACGTAACATTACCATAAAACAAATGCATTCAAATGAGAATTTTCTTGTTGTCGATGACAAGAATTATAGAAAGCAGATAGTCAAAAATTAATAAAAATAGAGTAATTTAGTTGCGTTTGTTGTATTTAAGAAGAAAAGACACTTTGAAAAATATATAAAAAAAATTTTTCGAACATTTAACGCCTGCTAATGCTTGAAAAACCCATTTTAATGAAATGGTCTGATACCTGCTCTGATAGGGATGACAACATCGATGAAATAGTAGTATGCATCAGTTGTAAAATCTTTTGTTGAGATCACAAAGACAAGCGCACACGCACGCATTCAAACACACCTTATTTAAACAATAAATGAGTAGAGAAACAATTTTGATGATGCGGTAACGCATTCCAGCCGGACATTTGATTCTGACTTACTTTGGATAATGTTAAATTTGAATAACTTAAAAGTATGCTGATATCATAAAATCTAGCGAAAAATTATGGAGATCATATGAGATATAACAAATTGTTATTTTTCCATTATTAAATAACAATAAATAATAAATTACAAATCGTCCGGCTGGAAGATGTGAGACAAAAAGCGAGAAGAACTTTTTTTTCGAAACACGTCACATGCACACAGCGTGACGACACTAACCGCTCAGTTATAGTGGGTTTTATTGAAATACTGGATTTACATACAATGTAAATTTATATACTTCTTCTAGTATATACAATGATCATTAGCTTTTTTTATACATTGTTTGATGTAATCAAATTTCATATAAACATTTTAGCTTCGAATAAATGCAGTGTAAAACAGAAATGCAATCAGAATTTCTGTAACTGGTACCAAAATTCCAAGAATGAAGAAAAAACAACCTGTATAATAAATGAGGTAAGATTTCGTTAGAGGAATGTTTCCAAGTGGGTCATGAAATGAATCAATATATGTTCTCTATTCCAGTAAAAAATAAGTGCATCAGATCTATTTTTGTGGCTATTTCGATTAATGTAAAATAATTTATGATGTTTTCTCAGATAAGGAACGGGATTTTAAAAAAAATCCTTAAAACAAAATATTTGATTAAAATGCTAAAAATCTATTTAGTAAATATTTAGATAGATGTTTTCTAAAAACATCTTTTATGTAAAAAAAAGGTCTGTAATATTCTTGTTTCCAATTATAAACAACTGTTGTCATTCTATGGATAAAAAAACAATGAGGAAGAAGTCTGTATTTTGTTTGGTGTTTTAATTGTATTTTTTCCTTACTACACACAAGAGATAAACCCAACAAATTATTATAGGATTCCTATTAAAAAATGAATTTCTAAGGTTTCCTTTTAAAAACGCAATATTTTAACGGGAATCCTAATAAATTGGCGCGCCCAAACATCAAATCCAACTTCAATGTATTGAAACAAAACATGTTTTATTATTCATGGGTTTCCTGATAAAATGTTCTCATATTATAAGAAAACCTTACAAATTAATATTTTAATAGGAATCCTAAGATGATTTGTCAGGTTTATTTCTTGTGTGTATTATATTATGACAATACAATGACTTTTTGTCTTTAATGAATAAATTAAATGTGCGCTATTTACACTTTGTCTGAATTCAAACGAACGGAATATCCAAAATTGAAGGACCACAGATTATTTGGCGGTTTTCACTTATTTAATTATTCAAAACGTATTCCATTTATCGCAATGCACTTTGGTACATGCCATTTTTGTTTAAATAAAAGAAATATTGAACCTCATATAGTCTGTCTTGGCGGAAAAAACCGAAAATGTTTTTGTTATAAATGTCGTTCCATTGGGTGCGTCGTCACAAGATAACCTATACATGTGTAGCACATAAAACAGAGTCGTTTGTGTTCAATGTCTGCCTTTATTAAAGTCATTTTATATATTTGGTTTTCCCCCACCTTACACCTTTGATCAGGTGACGTACTTCTTATAAGTGAAGCCGTTTGAAATCTCAGAATTGCATCGATTAAAATCAATGACGTAAATTTAATGAATGGTTTTGAAATTGACGCTTTGCTTTATTAAACACGCACAAAGTTATTGTGCATGAAAAAAAATAGTTTTTTTTTTCAGTTTCTGAAAGCAATAAAGGGGAAAAACAAAATATTCTCAATTGCAAAATGAAGCATTTAAATTCAATAGAATGGATAGTTTATTGAGGTCTTGTTGTCATGAAAGAATACCCTTGAATACCAAACAAAATTGAATCACTTGGAGTGGAACATTTTTTTGTCACATTTACTCGGCCAAAATCAAATGGTGTAGTGGTGTAGAACACTAAAAAATATTAAACACAAAACACTATTTTCAGCGAATTTGCCGTAAAAATAACATTAAGTTAGGAAAAGGGAAAGATAACTTAAACAAATGCATTAAAAGAGTTTTATGAATTTCAATCTTGTCAATGTACTGTGCCGTAAATGTGAAAAATGTGCACTCCAAATATTCATTTCATTTGTTTGGGTAGAGTAGAAAAATGTATTGTCAAATAAAGTAAGTTATTTATTAATTCAATTTATTTGTGTTTTAATCCAATTGAAATATGTTTACTGTAATTTATTATAAGGTGGCTCTGTTAAACAAGTCTGTTTATGTCTGTGAAAATTTTCCCATTTTTTTTTAAAAGTAAATCAAACAAAAAAAATTGTGTTGCATTCGGATTTGCAGTTTCTTTTGTATTGATATACAACCACTGGACAATATTATCATCTTTGTTTGTTTATTATACAATTGATTGCATGACACTGTTCGCGATCGCATCATTAATTGCATTCAATATCCGGAAAGCAACATTCCAATAATATAGCCAAAGTGTAATTTTAACACCATGAACAGAATGACTGATACGAAGCGAGCTTAAAAAAAGAATTAAAAGATATCATATAGATTAGGCATGACATATTATTCACCTTTTCCGTTCAATAACATTTGAATCAATGGTATCATCACATCAATCATTTGAACGTGCCGTCTTCGACGTAAATAATTTAAAGTATTTTTTTTGTTTCAAGTTGAATGATATCGTTTACGAATGAATAGAACAAATTCGAATACATGTGCATAATGTTATCAAATTCGAATTATTACGTGCAACATGTGTCATTCGTTTACCATGTGCATTGATAAGGTCCAAAATAAGCCATTGTTTACGTACGTCAACGATTGTGCTGGTTTTCAAATGCCATGATTTGGATTCCATGCTAATTAGTAATTTATTAAATTATCTCACTAATCCTCAATATATGTAATATTAAAATAACGGTGGTGTTATACGTATTTGCGACGCCATTTTAAATACTCATTGGAAAAATGTACACATACAATAGAAATGTGGTAAATTTTTGCATTTATAAAATTACGCAAATCTTTTTATATGCCTTAAAAACAAACGAAATATCTGGATGGTTTTGTTTTTCAAAATTTGAAGGCTTTTTACGACCTACACGTATTGCAAGTGTTTTGTTTGCTTTTTGTTTTATTTGTCTGAATGTCTAAGGCCGCGTCATTTTATAATTTAACGATTCAAATTTTCATATCATATTCTTTTATAATTATGTTATGGTGTTGAGTATAGGTAAAGTGTTCGGTGACCTGTGATGATTCAGTTAAGTGCTACAATTTTTGTAAAAACAACGTACATTCCATTATCATTATCAATTAATGATGATTAAATAAAAACGATGAAAAATGAGTAAGAAGGAGCAAAAAACAAAAACAAAAACAGAATAACTTTGTTCTGATTTAAAATCAATGTGATTTGACTTCATCATCTCGTGGAAGAGTTTGAATGGGCGATTTCATGTGACCTTTTGCATATTTTTATCAAAAAATAAAATAAAATACATCTCGGTCACTTTGCGCTGACTAAACTTAATTCTCTCTTGAGTAATTAAATAAAAAAAAATCCACAATTCATTTATCAATCTAAAAAAATGAAGATAGTGTAATTTTTCGTATTTTTATTTCAAAGCATTTAATTTCACAGAAAAATGTTCATAGTTGTTGTTGTAATTCATGAAAAATTTCATTTTCATATCAAATATAATAAAAATCAAATAAAAATATAGACATAAACGCATTAAAATATACACATTGAATGTATGGTATTTGAATCGAGCGTTTGCTTTGTGTCCGAAAAAACACACACACACACAGAGAGAGAGAGAGAGAGAGAGAGAGAGACAATGTGTTCAAATGTGGTAAGTGATTGTTTTGAATTTGTCGTTGAATGATGGCTGAACCAAACGACAATATAATCACGTTAGAACGTATTTATAATATGAATTTT